TGTATGGCTGTGTAACTGTTTTTTGCTTTATGGCCTGGGCTTATCCTGACATTGGGTTTGCCTGACTTAAAACACTCTCATGAACAATGAAAGATTGTTCTTAAGTCAAGAGTCCATCATGGGAAATTAGTTGGTCTTTCTCCACCCAGCATCACTTCATACAGGCCGCACACACAGATTCACTGCTCTGCAATTAAGTTTTGAGGCTGCCCTGCAATCTTTGCTCTCATTTTCCTCATTATGTACCTTCAGGTTTCCTTAAGAATTTTAAATAAACACAGGTCCCCAAGGAGGAACCAGGGTTTCTGCTCAGACAAAGTGAGTGGAGCAAAGTGACCTGGACTCATTCTGGAGGGTGAAATTCAATAGGTGCCTGTCTGCCTGCACACACAGCGTGCATCATTCCTGTAGTAAACAGCTCTCCTCCCTCGCTGCAGCATTTGTTCGCTTTCAGTCACTGTAAACACATGACACACACACTGAAGTTCATTTTCAGGATGCTCTATTTCAAAAGAGCTCCTAATCCTCACAGCAGACCTTAATATGGCAATTAAGAAAGAAAGACACTTGGCTGCAGCTTTGTCCTACCTTCTCTGAGACCTGCACCCCCTACCTTCCCTTGCTGAAGAAGTCAGTCCTGCTGCCATGAGTCCACCCTTGAGCACTATACTTTTTCCACATAAGCTCAAGCCTTATTCACTTGTGTGCAGGAGCCTGCCTAACTCCAGGACTTTCTTTGTCAGCATATACATTTTTGTTCCAGCTGTCATATTGTTCTCCCCCTCTCCTGATATTTTGGTTAAACTGTAGGTAGGTGAAATTCACTGTTAAAGGCATCTGTTCCTCAACAGAGGAAAAGGATGACAGGGGGCGTTCATGATGAAGGATATCACTTACCTTGCTCTGCATAGGTGCTGTTCAGCTCCCTGTACAGAGGAGTGAGGACTGTTGGAAGGTACGGCTTGATTCTGTCTTTCCCCAGATCCACTGAGATTGCTCCGAGGAACTTAAAGATGCAGCTCCTCTGAAAATGAGTGCATGGAACACGAAAGCAGGTAAAAAGAAACTGCCTAAATAAGCAGCTACAAGAACACTGTGCATCACAGTGTACAAGGTGTTTCAGATAGCTGTCAGAAATTCACCGCTGGCATAAAGTCCTAGTGCAGACAAGTACAGCCTTCAGATGAGACAGCCCTATGGGATCTGTAAATGTGTGAGCTGGTAACACTTTAAAAACAAGCTTGTTCTGTCACTGTCCTGTACCGGGGCAGCTGAAGACATGAAAAGCTCGGCCTTTCCCTCTGCATCACAGGGAATCACAGCATTTCTTCTGTAACTCACATGGCCTCCCTTTCTCCTGACAATTCCACACTGCCATTCCCCCGTCTATATAAGTAGCACTGTCAAGCTTTTAAAGCATGCATGTCCAACCTGCTAGCTTTATCACTTGGTTGCCTCTTTTTCTGTTTTAATAAAAACAGAACAGAATAAAATAAGTTTTGGTAACTATATGCATAAACTATATTACATGTTTTATACAAGACAATTCCTCTTTGCTCAGTGTGGCCCAGACAAGCCAGAAGGTTGGACACCCATGCTTTAAAGGCAGCACTCTGTCCCTGCACACTGGTGGCCTTTGGCTTCCCACCTTTCCACCACCTGGAAGCAACAGCAAAGCAGAAGCAAACTGGTGGAAGGCCTTCCTGAGAATCCCAACCTGAAATGCTGAAGATCAGAGGTGAATTCTCCATCAGCACCCACTACTCCTCACCTCAGCACCAGTTCCCTACAGCCTCTGGTAGCAAAGTGTCTATGCAAGTGCTTGTTGCATTAAACTGCTGGTTTAATCTTGTTCTCACCTTTAATGGGATCTTGGGGGAATATGCTGCTTCTCGCTTTGCCATGAGAGAGAGTTTCTTCATCAGCCATATCAACGTGGCTGGCCGACCCTTCTCTTCTGTGTCTTCTCCTTCTCCCTCTCCTTGAGCAGAAACATCTTTCTCTTCCTCATCTTCAGAAGCCTCCTGCTCTTCCACCTCACAGCTAAATTCTCCTTCGACCTGTTCACTTTCCTCTGATGGAGGTGCAAGCAAGTAAATAACTTTGGCAACAAACAGCAGATTCTTTATAACCTGAAATGTGAAAACAGAACAGTCAGTCACTGGGGGTTCCCACAGTGCCAGCACCAGCAGTGATCAAAGGTAGCCAAGAGCCAATGTTAAGTCTAAAAAAGCAACTGGCTATGAACTGGGTTCAATTCCATGCCACAGGATGGTGCACAGTGGAGTCAAACCTTCAAGCAACAGCATAAAGCTGGGCCAAATGCTCCCAACAAGCAAGCAGCCAGGACCTCAGTGCTGCAGCAGGGAGACAGCATCAGAGATCTGGCTGCCTTCTCAGGGTCTGGTTGCCCTTCTCCATGGAGAAGCCAGACTCTCCCTGGGCAAGGGCTGGACAGAAAGAACTCCTGTCTTGCTCTGCATGGTGCCCAAAATGTCTGTCCCCCCTCACCCTTCCAGCAGACTGACACCAGAGCCCTGAGCAGCACTACTGTCCTGACCAGGAGGTGACACTGCTTCATGCGGCCCCACCACAGCCCCACACAGGCTGCTGCTTTTACCTGCTCTCCCAGAGACTGGTCCAGGAACTTGGAGCGCAGCTGATGGCAGAACGCAAACACAAGTTCCTTCATCTGGTGGGACAAAACAGGGAAGGAATTATTACATGAGAGGAAACCAGCAGCAGAACCCCACAGCAGCGTTGTGCAGTCACCAAAGGTGGTTCCCAGGGAGGCCAATGAACTGGCTCAGCACAAGTTTTGCCTGCATCATGCAGTCCTGAAGGGAATCTTTGTGTTTTTCAGAGTAAGACCCTAGAGAAGCCCCCTCCCACCAGCACAGACACCTGCTCAAATGCTTTCAGTGATCGGGATTAGGCAGCAGACAGAAGCGACTACAAATCGTGCACACAAAACTACTGAAGTTATTTTTGTGTCTCAGGCAGGAAACAGGTGTGGGCACAGGGGAAGGAGCAGCACAGACACGATCACCTTTCTGTCCAGCTCAGCAGTCAGGAAGAACATGGATGCAGACAGCTCTGCTGACGGCTTTTTCCTCTTCACTGCCTGCCTTTCCTTCCATTTGGTGACAAGGTCTTCTGGTTTGTGGGATGCAAACAACAAGCCAAAGATCTGAGTGGCCGTCAGCCATACCCAGCTGTGAGGATGCCAGAGGTGAGACTGGACGTGATCTAGGGGAGAGAAAACCTCTTTCAGTGCAGGAGCCAGTCCAGCTAGAGCAGAAAAAGCACCCCATCCTTCTTAGAGCTACCACAACATACACTGCAGTAAAATGGTGACGGAAACAAACTGCTCATATGCTCAGAATATAATAAAATTGTTCCTAGGATCTCTGCTGAGCCAAAGCAAATCCAGAACTTGCCAGGGTTACCTTGTCTCTCACTGAGGACACCTGGCAGGCTGAAAACAGAACCCAGCCAGAAATACTCCTTCTGCTGTCAGCAAATAAAGCAACTGAAAGTAAGTCAACAAAGTGATAGTAAGGCAGCCTGACACTGTAGAATCTCTCTCATACATATATCATTGGAATCAGATGATCTCTGGGTCTTATCATGCTGGCAGGCACACAGTATTTACAGTGCCATTATCACATGTCATCGCTGGCTGTGTGCATGATCTCATCAGGGAAATCTCTTCCTGGAAGAACTGAAAGTTTTCATCAAAGAGGCTGTAATTATGGCCAAACACGCCATCATTCACAAGTGTTTGCTCTTGGGATGATAGGAAATACTTCCCAGCAGCTGAGACAGATGGCTTATTGTTTTCATCAGCTACGTAACCATTTCCATTAAAATCTACTCTTGCTGCCCAGCAGCTGCCACGTATGAGCATTCTGCAGCACGTGAACCTTGTGTGACAGCATCTAGCTCTTTCCCTTGAGGTCTGAAGAAACCCAAGGCACTCCAAGAATCTTCCCTGTAACACAGATATCGTAACTCTCCACACTCACCCCAGATCTGGCTGACAATATCTGCATGCTTCGTTAGCTGAATGAAGCTGCACTCCGAGATCAGCTTTGTCACCAGCACAAGGAAGCTGAACAGCAGCCTATCTGCAGCCTTCTCCTCCTCCTCCTCAGTTATCTGAGAAAATCAGCAAGACCAGAAATGTGCTTGAGAGGGTGTGAAGATAAATGTTTATTTCCCTACGGGGTACATTTCAGATCAACACCACAAGGAAGCAGAGGACTGACCTGTACCCAATTTCTATCATCAGCTGAAAGGAAGAAGCTCCTTTAGAACAATGCTGTGTGTTACTGAATTGCGTGCAGGACCTGACTGCCTGCAGTCCCAGCTGGTGGATGCAGCCAGCCCATGCCTCTCCCACAGTGCAGCACAGGGGGTGATCATAGGGCATTTCTCATCACTCCAGATGTTTTCATCTCCTGCCAATCTCCACACCCCCAAGGCTCTCCTCCCTTGCTCAGCGTGCTTTCCAGGCACATCAGTAGCAGACATGGCAGCTCCCCAAGTGTCTGGTATCCCCCTAGGAGTGCCACATCCCATGCAGGATCTGAGGCAGCCTTGTCATTCTGAGTTAATTGTGTACACAAAAAAAACAAACCAAAACAAAAACAGCCACCAAACAACAAAACCACGGTCTGAAATACGGGAAGGGAATTCATCAGAAAGTTAAAGTTGTAGGCAATGCTAAACAGAGGTAGTCAGTCACAAGCAGTTCACTTCTGACCTCCCATGCATCTAGCAGACATTCCCCAGCTAAACAGGTGTCAGCATGATATGAGGCTGTTTCCTAACTGAAGACATCCTAAGCCATCCCAGTGCTAGACATGCATTCTGCCATTCCTTCCTCCATCCCTTCTCTCCCGCCACCACAGCAAAGACCACACAAGCAGGGAAACTGCCTGGACATACACACTGCTACAGGGCCTCAAGCTGTGCCAGGGAAGGTTCAGTTCAGATATTAGGAACAATTTCTTCTCAGAGAGTGGTGTGCTGCCCTGGCACAGGGTGCCAAGGAGGTGGTGGAGTCACCATCCTTAGAGGAGTTCAAGATAAGGGTAGATGTGGCACTGAGGGACATGATCAGTGGGCACAGTGGGGATGGGCTGATGGTTGGACTAGATGATCTTTTGTACCCATAATGATTCTACGATTCTATGCACCAGTTCAAACAGGCTAAAAATCCAACAGCCCATGACTCGACGGTTGTCTCAAGAACCCCTTCCACCCAGAGGCTGACAAGGAGTAATGCATCTGCTGGTTGCACAGCAGTGCTGCAGGAAGGCTAAGGAGCTTTGCAAAGCTCCTTTGTTCCTTGCGCTGTGAAACACGACATGAAATTTGGGCCTACAAGCAAAGTATGATTCTGAGCCAGCGATGTCCCCTTCAGGACAGGTGTGTGTACTTTATGTATTTCCTCAGTCCCAAACAGTAGCACCAAAGGTTAAATCTCTCCTGCACTTCTTCTCTTCTTCCATTTTCCTTCCTCAAAAGGAAGTGGCAGTACAACTTACGTCTTCAAACTGAACTGGGTTGATTTCTTTCTCAACTAAGGTGAGGACAGCTTCAAGGCGCCGCTCAAACATGACTCCCTCCACTTCCACAAACAAGCCGCACGCCTGGGCAGCCAACCTCCGGTGTGAGCTCTGCCAACAGAAAGAACACCACCCCCATTACCTCTAAGTCATCAAATCCTGCAGCTCCCACAGGTGAGTAGAAACTGTTTTTACCTGTAGCAATGGCATGTTAAGAGAGGTTGATTTTCAGACTGCTATTGATATAGGAGATGCTCCCAGCTAGGGACACAAGCACCTGGCAGGACGTATTATTTCAGGGAAGGCACCCTACAACTAAATGCCAAAGGGCTGTTTTCCAGCTCAGTTTCCAGCTGCAGAGCACTGGGGGCAACTTTGCATTCACTGATTCCTCACAATACCATGGGCAGCTTGAAGCTATAAATCAGAACTGAACACAACAGAGATGACAAGAATGAAGTATTGAAGAACAATTGCTCCATTAATGCAAAAGGAAAGAAACTGAGTTCCTACTGAAGAATAACTGAACAGCCAGGCACCCAGATCAAAATGGGAGATTTGTAAGAGTATGTTTGCCACCCTCCAGCTGCTGGCCACAATACAAAGCAAGCCTTAGCAAAAGACAGCATGATGGTCAATCAATGGGATCAGAACAGCTGTAAGGCATTTATTCAAATATTAAACCTCAGCAAAGGCTCTTACGGCAAACACCTGTCCTAGGTGGGACTGTTTGAATGCAGGCAATGCAGCCAGGAGATCTGTAGGCTGATCTTGAGCTACAGCAGCAGCGGCTCTCTGCATTTGCTCAGCTGCACAAAATTTATCATTTCTCCCTTTTTTCTTGCTAACAAGAAGCATGTTAATGAGCACAACTTTAAAGACCTTTTCTTCTACACTGTCCCCTGTCTATACTCTTTTCCTAAAACTCTAACTCAGACTTAACTGAAGTCATCAATGCACCACACCTGACAGCAGCAATCGCACTTGCCTTAATCTTATCCTAACCCCAAAGTCTAGACTCAGTCAACAAAAAGAGCATGGAATGAATACCTTCTTGCTGTGAAACCACTCTGTGACCAGTGAAAACAGCAGATCTTGTTTATCATTGTTTATCTTACTGAGCAGAGACTTGCACGTCAAAGCTGCCATCTTTTTGCACTTGGCCGAGTCATCGTTTATCATCATCATACACAAGGAGATGAAAAACAGCCCACAGTATTTGTGGAGGAGCTCCTGGAAAGAAACAACCATTAGTCAGTGATATATCCCTAAGGAGCTTCTGGAATTTGAAGGGGAAAAGGGATATTTATGGCACAGACCTGAGTAGGGTTCAAGTCAAGACAGGTGAATTAACACAGAGGACAGCCCAGCTGCTGATGCAGGCAGGGAATGCACAGTAGCCCCCTCTCCCCTGACTTGCTAACGTGCCCCTAGGACAGGAACTTGTGTGTCAGACCTCAAAGGGCCTTTTCATAACTAACTTGCATTAAAATGGCCATACGTCTCTCAGCAGTGCCGCAGTCAGGTCCAAGGGCCCTTCTCTTGCAGAAAAAGCAGTGCTTTACTGTCCTGCAGAATTGCTGGGAACTGAGCTGAGGTACTAAAACTAACCAAGGGTGGAAAGGCACAGCTCACTGCACTCGGTTTCTCTTCCTTCCTCCCAAACTCTTGCTTGACTGCACTTCTCTCAGCCTCCTGTACACTCAGTCAAGCTCCAGCTATAAAGCATTGGGGCAGCTTAGCATTTTGTGCATGTTATCCTGTACAGGTGCAGTTATTATTTAACTGTCATTTTGATCCACTGTACCAAGAAGCCCTCTCTCTCCAGTCAGGCCAACAAAACCAATATTTCACACCACATTCCAGTACATAAATTTGCATCACATTCATCCAAGCTCCTGCTGACAGAACTTTACTTCACCTACAGACTGAGCACATTAGATCTGGAAGCAAAGTGGACTTTCCAGCATGTCATTTCTCTTCCGAAGCAAAGCCAGTTTTTTGGAGATAAGTGAATACTCACTTATGATAGAAGTTAATATGATGTATCAAGTGCTCCCCAAATAAACTGCTCTAAAAACGCTATTACACAAGCAGCTGAAAGGAATCAACTGTCTGATGCACAGTACCAAAGGTGATGGTTACCTGTGGAAACATGTCAAGGAGGTACACAATCATCTCCAGAGCAGACTCTCTTCCAGTTTCATACTCGTAGCTGCAAGGAAATGGTTAACACTTAGGCTGGGCTGACACTCTGTAAAGTTACTAATGATTTACAAGAATGGCCAATGCTAATAACACACACTGACATGGATCTTTTTACAGCAGCTCCCTGACCTGATCTAATGCTTAGGAGAAAAGAAGCAAACAAGCCACTCAGCTCCACCTGCTACAGAATGAACACATTCACAGAGAGGTGAGTCAGGGCTCCAGCCAATAGCACTGTGCTGCAGTGCTGAGGGCATAGAAACTGCCGTCACCTCAAGTGAAGGAGGGGTGATGCTCAGAAGGAGCCTTCAGGCACACAGACTGTTCCTGCTGAACTGCCGCAGCTGAGACAATTGCCAAGGGACAGCAGTCATATAAATACACTTTCCCATATGCTTTCTGGATTTTGTAGTTCACCTGGTTCACAAGCGGTACAACCAGTGATGGCACTAGGCAGACAACAGCACATTTGCTCACATAGGTGAAGAACAAAAAAATACAGCTGGGAAAGGGGGAAGATAAAACTGCTTCATTTCTCCAACATCCACCTCAGAAAAAAAGGGAAGTGCTTTAGAGGTGGGAAAATCAGAAGTCCAGTGCACCCACTCCTCATGAATAGCATACAAAAAGGATGATGCTGAAATCAAACTTAAAGCACCACGGTTCTGTATTGAGGAAAAGAGAAGAGGGGAACATAAACTCACTCCAGCTGTGCGAGCATGAAATCCAAATTGGGTTTTAGCTTGTCACCAAGGGGGTAGTCCAGAATATACTTCAAGTAAATCTGGAAAACAAAACAACAAAACACAGAGGAGTTACAAGAAACACTTGGACAACCTTGTAAAAAATAAATAAGGAATAAGCAGTTATGGATCAGAACGACGATGAGAATAAACCCTTCCATCCTCCTGAATGCACTAGTTCCTATTCCACAAGTGGTGAAGCTCCATGCCTGGAACAGGATCTGCAGCTGACATTCACCAGATCAGTCCTCAGAGTATTACTGTGTCTTGCCCAGGCTTCTGTTAATAGAAATTCAGCATTCTTCATAATTCATCTGCTAACTGTGGAGAAGTTGCATTTGGCCATGCAAAACTCCTGCTGCATCTGTATCCCAATGCTTGAAATGAAGTAACCAACTCCACCTTTTGGTTGCTTTTAGCTTAAAAAGAAAGAGTGGGAAGGAATCATGGTTTGTGTCAAATTCTCTTCTGCTGGGATACAGAAAACAACATGTTATACAAGCTTAAAAGCTTTCAAAGGAGGAGCTGCATCAGTGCTGCTGAGTAGCCCTGTGAAGACATGACATGGCAAGCAGTTTCACTGCAGGCAAGCAGCCTGAATTTCTTCTATTGTTCTCACAAGGGCTAAAACCACCCTGACAACAAGGGAACAAGGATTAAGAGGATAGAGAAACAGGGCTGGGATTCAGTAGATCTAAGGCACATCTCTATGAGAGATGGGTTGGCCTCACAGAGCCCTCCAGCCCATTACTGTGTAAATAACATGGACTTCTCATGGTACTCACCTGCCTGCACTGGACCCGCACTGGCTCACTCTGGCCTGTGATGGCAAGCTGGGCAACCTTCTGCATCACATCATCAATCTCAGGGACAATCAGCTTCCTGGATAAAATAGCCTGAAAATACGAAAACATAACCGGAGTCAAATCATTTTGTTTGCAGTGTGAGATATAGTATTATAACCATTGGTTACTTTGGTATCAAGTGGCAGAGTAACACTGACATACCTTCAAACAACACACAAAAAAGTTGGCTTGCAAATCCGTATCTTCTTCTTTTGGAAGACATAGAATACCCAGTCTAACAGTTAGGGATGTGAATTCTTTAGCAAAAGCATCCTGCCACCCAAATGCATCCTCATATACAACATGACAGGATGAGGTAATGGCTTTAAGTTGCACCAGGGGAGGCTCAGGTTGGATATGAGGAGCAATTTCTTCTCTTTAGAAAGTGGTGCTGCTCTGGCACAGACTGCCCAGGAAGGTGGTGGAGTCACCATCCCTGGAGGTGTTCCAGAAATGTGTAGATGTGGCACTGACAACACAGTCAGTGGGCATAGTGGGGATGGGCTGACAGTTGGAATAGATGATATTAGTGGTCCTTTCCAACCTTATTAATTCTGTGATTCTTTGTGTATCAAGCAGCCTCCCAAACAATTCTGAACAAAGGCTATAAGTCAAACAGGAAGGCTCTGCTACTTTTCCTGTTCTCCCCATTTTCCTTTTCTGTAACAGAGAAACTCAGTGGCACTCTGCTGACTGTTTCAGATATGAGTTCTTCCAAACATCCACCAAAATGCAATCACTACCATTCCAGTAGTTCACTCATACTTGCTCACACTTGCTCCACAGAAATACCTTTAGAAGGCCAAAGGCAGTGGCTTGCCGTGATGAATCATAAATATCTTCTTCAGCAAAGCCAAGCAGCACTTGGAGCTGTTTGCTTGTTATTTGGCTCTTTGCATTCTTCACAAGTATTGTTACGGACTGCAAAATCAAATTGCATATTGTCAATACACATACACCTCCATAAAATATAACCCCACACCAAAACCTGACTGTTTATAGCACTTAGGTTTGACAGGACAAACTGCTGCTCTCAAATGTACAGTTAAAACTGTTTCCAGTGCTGTTTTCTTTGCTTTCAGCTGACAATTTTGAGATGAAAACTGCATACAAGCAAATACACAAATGCAGTCCCTGAAATGAGCGGGGATGCTCATTGATTTGAACCACAAGGCAGGAACACAGACTGGAAGAGGACAAAATCCTTTTGGTACTGGGACTCTCACTATCCCTTATGATTGCAAAGCTGTAATTAATTCAGCAATGCATTGAGAAAACACATAAAGGAAGATGGTGCACACAATAACAGCAGTTTCTACTACAATTAATTGCCTTCCTACAATTGCCTTACTTCTGTGAGAGTTTATTCCAATGAATCTACTCAAGCTCAGAACTGATGCCTCTCAGAAGACAGGGTGGTAACAAGTTACTATCATAGGAAAGAAAGAAAGCAAATCTTCTGTAAGACACCACCCCTCAGCTCCAAGCTGTGTGCAGCTCCAAAGGATAACTTCCTCTAAGTCTGCACTGCAGAAAGACTCAAGGCAAGACCCCATTTCCCACTGCCTTGTGGTTTCCAGACTAACTCTCCAGGACCAGCTACAGGAGGGACATGCAGTGGAACAAGTCTTGTTCTACAGAACTAATTCTAAAGGAGAGGTAAGCAGACCTCTCTCTGACTTACTTTGAAACAGTTCACAACTAAGTGGAAATTCTGGCCTTTGGCTACTCCTGTCTTGGCAAATTCTTTCAGCAAGAGGAACAGCTGCTTGATTAGCGACTCCAGATTTGTATTGATAGAAGGCAAAGGAAACTTTAAAATCCATACTAAGGACTGCAGAGCACCAGTTATCACCTGTAAGAAAGAGCCAGAAATCAGCATGTGGGTACAGTGGTACCAAAAGAACACTTCTCACTCTGCTACAGATGTTTTCAGGCTATTTGCAACTGTAGTAAAAAGGAATTAGCTAACATCAACATCTTTCAAACCACTCATATGCCATACAAAGGGTTTTTCAGTTCTAAGAACACTATCTGCCACTCTCCAATTCTCCCAGCTTGGATTTTAGGAGATAAAGACACTAACACAGTGGGCAGGAACTCCTTCTGAAGCGGAAGTGCCTTCAAGGCACAGAAGCTGCTCTGCCAAAAAAATAAGTCACCTAAAAGCCCTGCTAGAAGTATCTCATGCTGTCTGAGGCACATCTCCCATGCCTGGGAAACCTGGGGTTTAATAGTTTCCCTCCTAGGCTCACTCAAACCCAGGGAGGCTGGGATGCTGGGCACAAAGATATCAAGAGCTGGATCAAAAGAAAACACAGCCGTTCTGCACAGCTGCAGGATCTCAGGAACCTCCTCAGATAGCCCACATTCAAACTAACAGCACTAGAAGCAAAACATCCAGTTCTCCATCAGCCACAATTCTCCCTTGCCCTTGGGATAGCTTGTCCTCAGACAACTTAACTGTACACCTGTGAAATTAGGTTTGAAAACAGAATGCCCCTCTCTGCTTTTCCAGATGAGATCTGTGGGCAGGACCTTTTTTAGCTGAAGAGATGGACTCCATCACAAAACCATACCTTGACATCCATGGATTTCAGGCAGTCTATGAGTAGCTGAACAAAGGGGTCTAACATTTCCAAAACGTGTTCATCGGAAGAATTTACTTTGGATCTCTTCAGGCTCATGTGCAGCAGCTAGCACAGAAAACAAAAGACATTCATCTCAAAGTTAGACTGGAACTCAAATTCAAGTAAAATCCCGCATTGGTTTGGGTTATAGTAGAATTCATGCCTATTAAATTATCTTTAACAGGCTGAGCTCTTGAAGAGGCATCACTGGAGTTACCACATGCAAAATAAAGTTAAGGCAAATGGTTGTACCGTTAACAATATGTATTCAGAAAATCTTCTTTTGTATACTCTTAACAAAAATACTGGTTTCACAGCTTTCTCTTCCTCTCTGAGGAGATCCTTACCCGAAGTCCTGATTCAACCAAGATATACGTGTTGGTCCTTCTGCTGACAGGGGCTTTCTGCCCCCCTCTTGTGGGTGTGGGTTGGAGCAGCAAGCAGCTCTCTGGTTGCAGCCGAGGATCTGGAGGAGGGGCAACTTTTGTTCTGAAAAGAAGATATAAGACAAAGGTGAAGATTCAGATTTGTGAATACAACGAAACAAACTGAGCTTGAGAGCAAAAGGAGAGATGGGACATTCAGACTTAAGAACAATGTCACTATTGCAAAAATAATACAATGAGCATTGATTCGTGTAACATTTCCACTTTTTCCTCTCAGTGGACAGAGCTTTGTAGCTCCTTCAAGCAAACACATCTACTGCACGGTTTACTGACGATTTACTGACATTTCTGGTAACTTCTAAAAACTGCAAACAACTGTCAGATCCAGGACCCCAATCACCTCTTATATGCTAGTTTGTAGCTCCCTCCTTACCACCATAATCTGTACCTTAATTGAAACACACACATCATCTTACCAGATGGTGAAAGAGCATTACTCAAGAGCACTTGCAAGAGTAGATTGCCATTAGTGCAGGAAAGGATAACTTTCATTTCCAAGCTTTCCCCTCCTCCCCAGCTGCCCAAAAAAGCAAAGGCATATGAATGGAAGGAAACCCTCATCTATTTGGTTTGAGAGCTGCAAGCAAACCTCCCAAGTGATAACAGAGCAGCTGGGTAACCTCTTGGAACTCACTTGGCCTTCTCAGTGAGCAGAGGCAAGTTTTCACTGATGAGACCGTGGCTGAGGAGGAGGAGAGATTCAGCATTCATGTCTGAGTTGAAGATCAGCCCTGCCATGATGTGACGCAGCGCCTCGTGCACCTTCCGGACTACCTTCAAGCTTGTGGTGCTCTCCAGAATCTGCAAAGGCATCACCATGAGAATCAGGAGGACAGTGATCTGACATCAGAAATCATAGGAAAAGCTAGAACAATTCCTCCAATGTGGCTTGCCTTAAGCCCCCAGCTCTCCCATCATCTCAATCCTGCCCCATCATCCCTCCTTTTTTACTTCCAGCCTCTCCTCAGACTCCAACCAGTTCACCTGTCACCACCAAGACACTCCAGAGCTCTTGAGCAAATGGAGTCCATTTCTGCATGAGCTTGCACCCACTCAAAACACTGCATCTCTGTAAAGGTAATTACTGCACATGGACAGAGACTTAATACATTCTGGTGATGTGCTGGCTCCCAAAAGAAAACGGAATCATAGTGGGATTATATAGGTAGCTGTCCACAGGCTCTAGAGTTTCTTCAGATTATATAGAAAAAAGCAAGGCTCTGGCCTTTTCTTACCTCTTTCAGTGGCAGAATAAGTTTAGTCACCTGGCCCTTTCCTATATATTTTCCAAGAATTTCATAGGAATCATAACTCTTGTTCTTGCGTGCTTCCATGACCTTGGAGACAATTCCCTTTACTTCCTTCTCTTCAGCTACATCCCCGAACAGCTCTTGGTTGAAAATCTTTGGAAATCAAGGAGAGGAGCAGAAAAACAGAGCAAGATTCTTTAATTAACAGCAGCACCAAACTATTTTTCCGCAGCTGCAGAAAACTCATTTCTTCAGGTTCCCCACAAATCACGCCCACCTTTCTTTTGTTAACATAAGACATCCTAGGTTGAACACACCAGATGGAAAAGTGTTTTCACAACACTCTGTGGAATTTTGATAGAAATAGTGGGATTCTAGTCAGATCAAGCTGACCATTCAGAAGCAATTCAACAGGCTAAAGCAATGGGCAGAGAGAAACTTCTTAAAATACAACACACAAGTGCAAGTGGGGAGGAATAACCCCACTGAATAGGTATCTGCATCTATTGCTCAGCCATTTAGGTCACAGGGAAACACAGTTAAGTGTCTTAATCTTGAATCACCCCCCTCTCAAGATGCAGGGCTCAGGAAACAGCCCCAGAAGCACACTGCTCTTCTACCAGTGGCACGCTGATGCCTCAGCAGAAAACAATCTCTTCCCTTTGAAGTAAAAGCACAACCAGCCCTGTTTGCCATCAAGTCTGAAGCAATGTACACACAACCTTCTCCTTCTCTTATATCCTTCCCAAGCATTTCATGATACTACTTCCTTCAATCTTTAATAACTCTTACCTCAATCAGGATGTCTAAGCAGGGGTCCAAATCACCAGCATTCAGCCTGGTAGTAAGACCTTTCAGTAGCAGATTCACAGTGAAAGTCAGCACATGGAGCTACAGAAGAAGAGAACAGATCAAGTTTCCAACTGCTTGCATGGACGTCTTGTATAACTGGATAGCTAGATTCCTACACAGAGACATCACAACTCACACAACACGCTTAAGCTCTTGCTACAGGAAAGAATACTGGATAGGAATCCTCATACAGGCCACAGGAAAAGGACCTCGATCCCTCCACACACTGGCAAAGGGTAGGAATTCCCTCTTTCCCCAGTGCTTTTAGAACTATTTTTAGGCTGTCCTAGTCAGTGCTTTCACTGTAGTAGTCAATAGAAGCTCTCATTTTTCCACTGTGGTAACTCATATCAGAAATGACACTTGCCACAAACCACTGCGTAAAGAGGAAAGATGAGTTAAGAGCTAGGGTCCTGGCTCTGTAACTGAGCAGCAAGAGTTCAATTAATATCACTACATACTGTCTACATAGTCTTGGTGACAATTTACTTCAGATGGTGCTTGGCCCTAGTGACCTTACTGTAAAGATTCCCAATAATTCTATTGAAACCAGAAATTCATTCTTCAACTCATTTCTCTTTACTGAGAAAATGGAGATCTTCTCTTCTTCCCTGCTTAGACTGCAAGTTCATTGGGAACAGACCCTCAGTCAACATACATTTATATACTACTTGAAATAACAAAGACTGATGTAGGCATAGCAGTAGTATTTAGTTCTATGATACACATCTGTTCTCCCAGTGTAAAACAATTTCAGTAGCAATTTCCCTTTGGATTCTTCTAAAACACACACAAACACACACACACACCCCTCCAAAAAACCTCCGAATTTTACTAAGAATAGAAGACAAAGAATTTCAGCATTACCTGGTATCCATGGATGAGAGTTGATTGCATCTCTTTTAAAACGTACAGAAGGTATTGCACTCCCAACACTTCCATGATTTTAGTGAGGGTGTTACGAGCAACATCCCGGATTTCCTGAAATCTGTTCCTCAGAAATGAGCAGACCTTCAGGAGGATGCTGGAAGCAGAGACAGACAGCTTAGTTCAGCACCTAAAAAGCAGAACTAATTAGACTGCTAGCCAAGGAGGTGGGATGCTTTTATAAGCTCAAAGTCAACCTCAAAGAAAGGCTTTACAGTCACACACAGAGCTACTGTCCTTCAAGAAACATAACAGATTTTGTCCTTTCTGTATGCTACTCTTTCTTTGGCTCTGCCACTCCTACCTCTGCACTCTGCTTTACAGCTCTGCTCTTATTTAAGGATTTACCCAAATCCCTTTCAAACTCAACCCTGCAGAACTCAGGTGCAAGGGGGAACATAACTAGAAAAATGTATTTCCAAATAAAAAGAACTTATGGCCTGTCAGATGTCCCTCCAGAATTCAGCCATGTGTTTAACTGCAGCTTAGTAAACATGCCTGTCCTGATTCCCAACAAAATGCGTGGTATTCAAAGAGCTTCTCCAGGACCTACCTTGGCAGGTTGGCTTCCATCACTTCCTGGGGAAGACACTGCATCACCCTGACCATTGCAAAAGCCAAAGGCACACGGACTACCTCATCATCGTTCACAACACTGGATTTCACAAGCTTGTGTTCTTCATCTCTCTTAACCTTTTTAAGACAGAGTAAGATACAAGTTGAATAAAAAGAAGTGTAACAAACAGTTCAAAAAAAAGTCCTGTTTTTTTTTTTTCCCCTCAGCAAAACCCAAGAGGCCAATATTGCAAACTGACTTCCAATGCTGACTACATGACAAACCTAGGCAGCTAAAGGATGGGCAAGATGAATCCCTGCATTTTCCATAAGGAAAGCTGGGTGCTAATAAGTGGCAGAGAAATTTTCAAGAGGCTGCACTAAGTGAGTTGTTTCACACCTACACTGACCAGAGGGTCTGTCAGCTCTCTTGATGACACATCAAATGAGATAAATCTCTTCTGTGATTTCAGGTGTCTCTTTCCAGTTGTGTCCTTTTTTTTTTTTTTTTTTTTAAAACGTACTGCATTTCAACATGGCTCTTTCCAGTACCACCCCAACCCTTCCAGTAGCAGCACAGGTCAGCAAACTGCCTTTCCAGTGCCAGCTTCTCACCTTCGCAACAATGCACCTGTGCAATTTAGGCAAAATGTTGACTATAACTGTATCTTGAATGTGTTTGATCAGACACTCCAGCTCTTCTTTATTTCGGGGTAAGAAGGAAACTGGTTTTGCCACTTGCTGAGTGTTTTCAGGTGTCTCAGCTGCCTTTTCAGGCAGAACCAGCTCAGGTTCTGCTGTTTCTTCAGGGATATTCTCCTTCTTGTCTTCCTCAACCACTTCCTCTTCCCCTTCACTCTGTTCCAGCTCCATGGCTTCTTCACCTTCTACCTCTGGCTCAAGATCCATGGCAGCAGCTTCTGTCAAGTAATTATTAAAACCACAGGTAAATACTAGAGGCAACACAGTCGGAGCCCTTAAAACAGACTCCTGGGATGGCTTTGATCTGGACAGAACTCCTACTTACTATCACAACAGTAAACAATCAATAAACTTCAGAGCTGCTCTACCAGGCAGAGAAGTTCTGGCATGCTGATTTCTGATAATCACCCCTCAGGGCTTGGCTTAAAGCAAAGACTAGGTTGTTCTTCAGCTGAACTCTACAGACAGTTTACCAAAGGTCAGTGCCCTTGAACCTCAGTGAAGTGTGATTAATTTACATTTGTTAGTCTTACAAGGCAGGAAGTATTGACGAGCACATCCATGAGATACATTCTTCCCTCTTCAAAATATCCAGAATATCCTAAAGGCCACAACATAAACAACCACAACGGTGGACAAGTCAAAACATAAAATTACTCCTCATGAAACCTCAGTGGAAGAGGGCCAGGGCACAAAGCACTCTGCTCAGGCAGAGGATAAAAATGATAGAAACCAGTGACAAGATAAAATGTGGTAGCAGCAACACAGTTGTGTGTACACCATGAAGAACCTCCCAGATGAACATAATCCCAGTCTAAGTGTGTCTGCTTTATGGAAGCCTGAGATGGAGAGGTAACGTGGAGGTGATTCCTCCAACCTCTCCTCACTGTGTCAGCACATAGAAAGACAGTCTGTACAGCTCCTGAGAAGCCAAATTAAAACTGGTTTTCCAACATGCACATTTTAAAAAGCTGTAAGTAGCCAACCTCCAAAGTAAAAGTGTGTCAATCAGCTGCATTTTGAGCAATCAGAGGGTGTGTCTATCAGGAGCAAAAAGCTCACCTTTGTTCTCAATGGTCATGAGCTGTTTTTCCAGTGTTTCATGGTCAAAGTGAAAGGCTTCCAGCACTGTTTCTAACAAGCTGAAAAAGAAACACATGAAGAGAGATAAGCTCTCTGCAAAAAAAAAAAAAAAGGAGAGGCTGCATAGAACCAACACAACAGAAAATCTTAAAACTGCTTTAAAAATAGTTCAGACTCAGTGGCAGTGCAGTTTAGTAAGGTTTATTTTGAAATAATAAATCAGGAAACAAAGATGGGTTGTTTTTCATCTAATGGTCTCTGTCACCTAGTGCAGTGTGAAACCTCAAAGACAGTGGTACTGCAATTGCAGAGCATCCCAGGAGCTGGGAAAGTCAAACAGGAGCAGAAAATCTAATGCTCTCATGTACACAGTGAGATCCAGCAAGCAAAAACAACTACCTATTAATCCTTCATAGCTCAGTTACACAGAAATACAAAGCCATGCCCATTTTCATTAGCTTAAGTGAGAAATCTCTCATGCCAGTGAAGAGTTTAAAATCCACATGATGCTCCTTAAGGCACTGATTTTCGCCTTAGTCATTGAAGCTAGAGCAGCATCGCTTAGGGTACCCACCTGACTCCCAACTTGGGACTGATCTGCCCCGTCTGCAGGACGTGGATGAAATGCTTTAAGTGGTACAAGTATGCTGACCACGAGAGATGCTGGCAGATGGCTCCAACAACTTCAACAGAGGCTGTTACCATATTTTCATGCTACCAAAAAAACCAGAAATTCAGATGCTATTAGCGTTCAAGCATGCTAAAGTATACTTTACTCAAAGTAACAGGAGCCAGAAGTAACTCCTGTTTGCTGAGAATGTTTGGTACTCTACTTTATTAAATCTGCTCTCAGTTACCAGGTTAAACAAACACAACATCACAGCTCACCAAGCACATCTCCAGACCCACTTCCTCCAAACATTTCTATAGTTTATCTTTTCACATACAACCAAATCTATGGGCCCACTTCTGTGAGGAACTGAAAGCAGCCACAATACATAATAACATCACACATTGCTAACCTAGTGCTAAGGTAAAATAAAATGGGTTTGTTTCTTCAAGGTTTCAGTCAATGTATTTTCTCTCTTGTTGGTCAAAGGGCAATGACATTAACCCTGTCAATGGGCACAGACTGGATGACTGTGGGTGCTGGCTCATGTGCCTGAGCACTAATTCAGGAACAATTCAGAAGTACATTTCTGAAAGGAAGTGAATTACCCAAAATGACATCTGCTTAGCCTGACATAAGCAGCTCTGCTGTTCTTCTGATAATGTGCAGGGTACTGTACAGATGTGTGAAACCTTGATTTTTCAAGTTACAAGCAGAAAGTTCTGTCTACACTGATGTTACAAGTATTTCATCTCATGCTTTAAAATAAAAGGTATGGAATACGACTAAGTGAATGCTGCCCTTCAAACATTATTTACAAAGCTGCTGCAGGCTGAGAATCTCTGAAATCAGTTCTTTCAGTCCCTCTCACAGTCCCCATGAAAATGTTATTTATGACCAACTCAGTGACTGCTTACAGCCCATGTTTCACACACACCGTTTCTGCTGCCTAAACTCACAGCTGAATATGAAGAGAATAGTATGGAGGGAGAGGGGAAAAAAACAAATGGATTACAAAAAATGCAAACAAATATAAGCTCAAGTAAAAGAAACCAAACAAAACACAACCCAAACAACAACAAAACCTGCACTGAAAACTCAACCCAAACAAGCTTACAGTCTTAGTTTGGAGAAACAGGACAGTTTTAGCAGATAGAGAATTGGATCCAGATTGTATCTGCACCCTCAAACCCTCTTTCTGCCACCAAAAGAAGCACAGTGCTCTCCTCTGAAAGGGGAACACTCACTCCATAAACCCATCAGCCTTTTAAAGCAGCTAGTCTTTTAAGGAGAGCAATACAAGTAAGGCGAAAATACAAAAACTGATGCATACAATTTACAAGTCTACCTTCAGCATTTTTTCACTAAAAATGGCAGTAGTAGCATAAGGCATGATGTAGTTCTGCAGGGATTTGGAAGACAGCACAAGTTTCTTCTCAGTCAGCTGCTTAGCCAGTCTCCTCAGAGCTCGTGCCCTCCTGTGGATCTGAGCCAAACATAAAGGAGAGTGAATGAGGTGGCCCTTGAAGCACAGCTAGCACAAGGGAGCACACGCATCCAACAGCAGTCGTGCAGGTGGCTCAATCTGACATAAACACAGTACAGTCACCTCCAAGGGTAGGCCACGGCCTTTTCATTCTTATCTGGGCTTTCACTAGACTTCTGCCCCAATAAATATTATAACTCAAAGAAATACTTCACTGTGAATTAAAAGGCACAAGAACATGCCATCTTTGGGTATCAGACACATTACTTCCATGTCCATCTCTTTTTCTTTTCTTTTAAATGACATCTAATAATACTGGTTCAATTCTTCCTTGAAGACATGGCACAGGCAATTAGGAAAACATCACTCCACAGTAAAATGCTTTTGCTTTGGTAAGGGGGGGAAAGGGCATCAAGGAATGCGCATTGCCTTTTACCTGCATGTGTTTCATGTTCTCAAAGAAGTCCATGTCAGGATCGTGGCAGTTGGTCAGCTGGACCAAATCCCGGAATTCAAAATTTGCTGGGAATGTCTGAATGAGGCAGGAAAGCAAAGACGTGTAGTCTTGCTGGATGCTCTGTAAAGAATAAGACATGAAGGTTAAGCACTCCCTGGAAAGGCAGCTACATCCTCCTCAGAACAACTCTGCTGCCACTTAGATGTTTTATGCCAACAGGTCACATTATTTGGTAACACCAGATATACCTGTAGTTTAGATTGCACATAAATTAAAGTTTCTGCTCCAAAGGATGAGCTACAACTGAGAAAAGCTAAACAGCAAAAAAAGCTCCACACAACAGCGGGGTTCTATAATTTGTTAGATTTTATAATGATTTTAAGTGAAGGTTTAGTTTGATTACAGCATGTATCTGCAACTTAAGTGGTGGTTTCACTCTAAGGGGCAGCTAAACTTCACCACAACCGCTCACTCACTACACCTACCTCAAAAGAAGAGGGGGAGAAATATAATGAAAAAGGGCTCAAGGGTTGAGATGAGGACAAGGAGATTGCTGACCAATTGCTTACATGGGCAACATAGGCTCAGTGTAAGGAAGTTAATATAATTGCCTATAGCAAATTATAGAGAAATTAAAAGCAAATGAAAATCTCTTCTCCCTCATTCATCCTCTCCAACCTCCTCCCTCCCCAAGCAGTGTAGTGTAACAGGGAATGGAGACTGTGGTCAGTCCTTAATCGTTAGTCTCAGTCACTCTTTCACTCTTTGCCCCTGCTCCATGTGGGATCCCTTCCATGTGATGACACCCTTCCTGAACTGGTCCTGTGTGGACTTCCCACAGATTGCAGTTCTTCAAATACTGCTCCAACATGGGTCCACACCACAGGGGCCCATCCTTCAGGAGCAGACTGCTCCAGCACGGGTCCCCACAGCCAGCAGCAGGTTCCTTTTGGAGCTGGCTCTGATCTGACATGGGGAAGCTGCTGGGCTCTGCTCACAGAGGCTGTCCCTGGAGCCTCCCTATTACCAGGGCCTTGCAATGTAAACTCAATACAATACAATTTCTTATCCTCAAAGGACTCATCTATAAAAAGTCTTGGATGCCTTGCTGTCCCAAGACACTTGGATATAGGTCACCAGATAGCAGTGCCTTACCTCAGTTTTACTCTTCAGCCCCCTTCTCAGAGACTCCAGAAGAGTGTGCTGGATTAACTCCTTGTAGTCATCTTCTGTGTGGTCAATTTCTGCCAGGCGGTGGATAAAACTGGTGAGGCAAAGGCTTGCGTTGTCACTAAGAGCCATATCTCCTAGCTGAGTGGATGAAGAAATTGCACCACGTGAGTCTGGATACAACAGCTTTTTCTACTCAAAAGACTGGAGTGAATAGTAATACTGTACATAGCACAACAAAGCCTAGAACGATCCAGTAATTCTATCAACTCCAACAGAAGTTCTACTCCTTAACTTACGCCCACTTTCTCAAACAGAAAAAAAATACTTTTTGAATCAGCAGAAAGCCTACACAGCCAGAACACACTGCAACAGAAAGAAAAGCAGCCTATCAAGATTGCAACATGCCTTTTGTAAAGAAAAAACTGACCAGAGAGTTCCAGGGCTCACTGGTAGACAGGTATACCGGCACTTGGTTTATTCTTCTCGCTGCAGTGCATTTCACAGAAACACAGAATCATAGAATTTTTTTTATTTGAAAGGGACGTTTAAAGGTTATCTGGTCCAAATCCCCTGCAATGAACAGGGACACTACAGCTGATCAGGGTGCTCAGAGATCCTCCAACTTGACCTTAGTTGACTCCAGGGACAGGACAGTCAGCATCTGTCTGGGTAACCTGTGCCAGTGCCTCACTATCCTTATCATAAAAGAAACCTTTACTTGTATCTTCAGGACACACAGGGGAAAAGGCAAAAGGAGGAAGCTTAAAATGAGGTGCTTGTGAGAAGAATCCATCTGCTCTCTGAATGTTTTGAAGCATCAGAAAGCAAAACAAGTCAGTGAAATGAAATGAATATGTCACACAAAGCAAGAGAAGGAACATTTAGCCCACCTGGATGGTATAGAAGCAGTTGTGCATAACGGGGATGAGGAAGTTGATATCCACTGTTTGCATTTCTTTGATGTGGGCAGTGATTGACTGGAACGCTGACAGGCGTACATCGAAGTTGATATCATCAAGATGCCGTTGATCAAAGGCGTTCAACTAAGAGACAGCAACAAGTCATTCATAAAAAAGGACAGACACTTGACAGAACAACCGTGGGGAAAAAAAAGGGAGCAAAGAAGCTGGGCATACCTTAACAACATCTGTAATGTATTTCAATTCACTGTCCAAATCAGATAAAGTCTAAAAAGAAACAAAGGAAAACAGTTTAACTGTTATAGCTGTTATAAATTTGGAGGACTCCAGACTTTCTTCCAACTCTAACTACCTGAGATTTAGAAAAAAAAAAAGTAGTACCAATATCAGTCCTTTTATAAGCTTAATAAGAGCCACTTTGCCCATGTTATTTCATCTCTAAGTCAGGCTAAGTATCTTTTAACTTCCTAAGTTTCTAAATATTTACACAGAGGATATCCTGGGTTTTCCTATTGAAAACAAACAATAAAAAATGGATATGTAAATCACTTCAAAAAGTACAAAAAAGCCTGACTGCTATTCATCTGAGAGAAGAATAAAAATAAAATCATCTGCAAGCTGGTAAAAACCACTCTTATTTTATAAAGACAAAGGATTCATTATGGATGCAAGGTGCTTTATTTGGCTTCTTTTCCACAACAGAACCGAGGAGATGCTCACACCAAGCAGGCTGCAAACAAAAGTTTTACCAGTCTTCTTGCAGAACACTGATGTCTGCAACATGCAATACATTTAGTTCACTTCAACTTAATACGTCAGAGATTAAAAAGTTTCTTAAGCTCATGTACAACAAAGATGATTGCATTTATTTTGTTTTTGATCTGTAAAAACAGCACAGAAAGATGTGTAAAAATGCAGTACCTGAAATACCAAGCACAACTTCTGTCGAGACAGTTTGTTCTGGATGACAGAAAATAGCTTTGCCAGAGGTTTGAGAAAGCTTGCAGGGTTTGAGCAATGCCTCAGCAAGTTCTGCACTGTCTCCAGAATGTCAATCTCTGCATCCTGAAAGAGATACATCGCTATCAGTAACTACTGAAACTTCATGAGATTAATTGGGAAATCTTTCAAAACACAGAGTGAACTTTGCTGTATTTTATTCAGATCACAGACACTGAATTTGAACAAAAAACTGGGAGGACATTCATTGAAACCACCACACTTCAGAAGCACTTGCAATCTTTCAATTAGATACAAGCACAGAGTTTGAAGAAGAGTGCTGTCACAAAGCTAACTTCTATTTTGGGCATTTCCTCTGACTACTCCATTACAGTAGGACCTCAATTAGGTTAGAGAAGCAATAGAGCTTTACAAAGTCACCTTTCTCCAATCTGTGAAATGATCATGAACAGTACCATCTACCTGTATGGTCCCCCTGAAGGGAAATTACAGACAGTTCACTAACGATTCACAAACATAAAAAAGAAACTGTGAACCAGTTTCTATGACCATCTGCAAAGCAGAAGTTACAGGCTGCAGCCTAGCAGTTCTTTCTGAAATCCTGAAACCTGTTCTTGAGCAACTGCATCTCATTTAAGGAAAAACAAGACCCATACCATGATCCAAGGATGCAGGCAACCAGGAAATATGGCGGCGAGTTAATAGTTCTATACAACATTTGCCTTTTATCTTGCAACAAACCAATGAAAGCTCACTGCACAGCATGTATTACATTCACATTTACTCACATTCTGTCTAAATTCTGTCACTTGTGATTTGTGATGTATGAAGCACAAGTTGAAGAGAGCATTTGTGTAAAACTTGGCAAGGAATTGGGTGAACTGACTACTGCAGCAAAGGAAGCAAAGATTGTACAAACACTTCTGCAAACCTTTCCCAGGAGAAAAGGCAAAAGTCAGCTGTGACACTGGCATTCCTGCAAAGCACCCAGTGGCTTTATATCCATCAATACACAGTAACACACTGCTGAGTGGACTACAAACTCATGAAGACTTGATTTCAGACTGAGCACGAGAAATGGCATGTAACCAATAAGCTTTAAATGCATCTTAAATAAATCTACTTCACAGAAAGGAAACTGCATTTTTAATTAGGGGGGATAATTCATTTCTACTTACTTGTTCAATGTTACTCTGGTGAAGGAAAGGAAGAAGGAGACTCACAAGCACTGAATTCTGACTTTTTTCTTGTATAAATTTGCTGATCCTGCATGATAAGACAATGTAATTTACTGTTTATTTCAATCCAATCAGTATAGAGCAAAGAAGGATTCAGTCAGCACCAGTGCTCCATCACAGGGTATTGTCAGCCCATCCACCTGCTCTCAGGCTAGTAAGACTTTCCTATTCAGTTCTACATGACTGCAATCCCATCTGTATCTTTTCCTATCTCAAGAAGTATTGGTTTGATTACCAGCAAAAAGAAACAGCTAGAGTAAATTTCTGAACACTTCCAGTTGGTCATCAGCAGCTTCCAAGGTCAATGACAGATGCAGGTATTTTCAAACGCTCTAGATTTAAATAGTTTCAGACAATGTTTCTAATTTGCAGCCTATTAAGAAATGATTCTTTCTTCTTCCCCCCTTCTACCCTTCAACTGTTTTGAGCACTGAAGAATCACCTACTTGGAGAGTATACTCAGCTCTTTGCTGACTTGGGCTCTGTACTTCTTCTTTTTCATTTTCTCCACATTTAACATTGTTTTGCTGAAGTACTGAAGTATGGCAGGAACGTGAGGTAGGACCAAGCGACAACCTAGGCTGAGGGACTCTGTAAGGAATACAACAGTCAGCAACACTCAACTCTGCGCTGCAAGCAACAAGGCAAGCTCTGTGCAACAGAAGGAAGATTCAGCCCACACAAACAACCGAGGAAATGCAAGTAAAGGAGTGGAAGAAAAATCAGGGGGAATTATGAACGTACTGCTGGGAACGTGCACTAGCACTTCCATTACAGCCCTACTAAGTGTTGGCTCTTCATAGGGAATTTCTCCTTATCCATATTCAAACCTGGATCTTACTTGTCACGACATAAGCAGAACTTAACATTTTTTGAGCATGCCAAGAGAAATCTGTACAGTGACTTTTCCCTGAAGCCTCCTTCCCTGTATGCTCACTCAAGGCAAAGACAATCTCATCATAATCTAACACCTCTTTCCAAACCACCCAATAGGCCTCTCATGGCTCTTACACACACATACCTTCTGTCACTTCACCAGTGTTCAGGACAACACAGTCAGTCACGTTCAAACTGGAAACCTGCTCCGTGGGTTCAAAATCGGGGCTGTTGAGAAGGCTATCAGCAATGTCCATCACAAGATTGGATGTTGCCTCAGACAGATTCTTGGCTGACAGGACAGCAAACACATTGGACAGTATATCATACTCTGGACGATCCGGATACTGCTTGGCCAGTAGAGGGAAATACCTGAGAAGATTATTATTAAAAAGATATGCTGAAAATTTAAGTACAGAACTTCATAATTCTTTTGTGCAGAGTCATACAAAAAAGATAATGGGAAAAAGCACAGAAGCCACACCAATGGGCCATGAAAAGTAGAAGGAATGGAGGTTGAAAGGTCATCAGGTTTCTTTTCATGCTTCAAGATAGCATCATCTAAGCTTAGTCCTTTCTCTGCAAATGTTTGCCCAAGACTCCTGTCAGAGCTTGCTCCTATCTTAATAATCCAATTTTTTTAATGTAAGTTTGTGTGCAAGTTCTTCATTCTTACAAACGACAAGTCTCAAAAGAGAAGTTGGACATTCCAGCAAAGGAAAAGCATCATGTCAGTGGAAGCGTTGAAAACCACTCAAGATAGCAGAGATGGAATTTCTCATAGTGTCTGCCTCAAAAAAGGCTCTCTTTCAACTTTCAGTCTCAGAATTCTGTGCTGAATTTGCCCATTTTCTTTCGCAAAGTAGAAAGAAATACAGCATCATAAAACAAGAATAAAATCATCTTGTCAAACTGCCCTCTCCATCTCCTCAGATGACTTACATAAAAGTAATTGGTTTAGATGCAGGCACATTCTAAGAATTCACTCTCCTCCTGACCCGTGAGCTGGGCTTAATCTATATATCTGTTTGGTTGTTCACGTACGGGAAAAACAGCTCACTAAAAATATCTTAATTGCCATAAAATGTAAAGCTTCAGAACTGCATCTGGGCTGCTATCAAAAGAGTAACAAGCCTAGTGGAGAAGATGAGTTTTGACATAATTATTCATAACCTGTTAAGAGTGTTGTGATCATTTTAACAAAAACGTGGTGTATTTGAGATACTTGAGTTTCACTGCAAGAGCACTTACTTACCTAGGATTCTTACTCCAAGTGTAAATGAGTTTGAGCAGAAAAGTTGGAGAATACTGGCTCTCTGAAGCCAACCTGCAAACCTGAAGGAGATATAGATCAGACACCAATGCAATATAAGTACACAAAGCCAATTAAAAACCCATTTCTAACAAAGATCCCACCACAGACTATATTGTTTCTTTTAGAAAGCAAATCTTTTGTTGTTTTTCCACCTCCTTCAATACTGTTTGTTTATCTCATTCTCTGTACATCACTCCATCTACGTTTTTTGTCCTCCCCTAAAAGTGACTCTCCACTGATCCTCACACTTGCCACAGAGACCTAACCACCTCTCCTGGACTTGCCTATGACCCTCAGGCATGAACCCAAGACTTGTACCTCCCACACTTCCAACTTCTCAGCTGCAGCAAACTGCAACTCCAGGCACAGCTGCATTAAACAAAGTTTTTATATGTATCAGTTCTACAGCCTCAAAAGCTGTTAAGTCAAAACATTTTTCTGCTAAAACCAAACCCTCACCAAGTTAACTGGCAGAAATTCCCTCTAGAGGGAGCTTCTGGATCATGCTACAATTCAAGCTCCAAAATTAGTGTTGTCTTCCTGACATCTACCAGGAAAACAGGAATTGTAACTTTTCAACAATTCTATATTCTGTTCAGATTTACAGAGCATTTCCAAATGCAATGCACTTATAAGCATTAAGTACTTTGCTGACTCAATGCCTGGACTACATGCTTTTACTGCTCTGGGACCAAAGTAAGTTTTCACTGCTTTGCTCCACACGGCTTGGAAAGACTGGGATAGACAAGTCCCTGCTGCTCAGCCTAGTGAAATACACAGCTAAATGCATTGCCAGATGTAATCAACACTGTTTTATTTTCAATACTGCACAATTTCTCTCTCCCAAGAGTGCATTTTCCCAACTAAAAGGGGGTCTGAAGTTCTCTGATGAAAACTGCAACCCTCTGCTTTGTAACTGTGCTCAAACAGGACTCTTGGCAGGACAGCAGAAGAGCACACAGCCCACTGAAGGACGATGCTGCAGTCCTCCCTTTCTGGCAGCAGCAGGAAAGCCCACTTATGTTTGTTTCTCTAATCCTCCATCACAGGTCCAGTAACTTTCAGATAGAAAACCAACAAAATGCACCTAGGACTGACCCAGTAGTATCATTTTGCTTCCCTAAAATAGAAGCCTGCTTCTGTGGCTAAAGAACAGAGACATCACATCCATTTTATTCAAAAGAACTCATTTTGTACTTAAGCATGAGACTTAATTACTCAGGACTAATCAGACTTGAGCCAAATCTGCCCTTCCACACACACATCAGAATGCCACAGAACTGGAGTCCCTGCATGGTACAGGTTACGCAGATGCCAGTCTGGAAGAAGAAACACATTACCTGAGGCCATACCACTGCATGGAAAACTGCATCAATCTCTTCCACACTAAAACTGTAAGTCTCATGATCAGAAAAAAACTCAACCACAAGCTTGAGTCCAAGGCGCCTCAAGTTCTTCAGCGGATTAATCAACCGTGGCTGAACCTGTAAAAACAAAACAACAGACAAAACAGTAAAACCTCTGCAAGAACAATCACTATTTGCTCAGAAGTTAAATATAGCAATTCACTGGCCACAGATGCAACAGAACGCAGAGCTACAGCATTTGGTTATAGAAGGATGTTCCATATACTTTTGGGGGAAAAGTCTAAGGAAGGAAGTCAGCCATACAGCTAGTCATGAGGTTATTTACACACTGCTGCATTCTGACTCTTCTCCCTGTTATGATTTGAGTAACCTGAGTTATTTCTGTATCATGCAATGCAGCTTATAGGAAAAACCTGAGACAATTCCAAGAACAGGTACACTGCACAGTGCAGAGCTACTGACTCCTGTCTCAGAAACAATGGAGATCAAGACTACATCTTGGGATCTTCAAGGCCTCCATTACGCATCACAGACCACCACACTGAATAAACACACGTAGGTTCCTATTCTGCAAAGCAGCTTGGAATCTCGCTTGGAATCTCCCAAGCTATACTGAAATGTACTAACGAAATGGTGTGCAAGCAGCTTCCAAGCAGCAATAAGCTGCCTGAAGGGCCAAATACCTGATCCTGCTTTCACTCAGCAAGCACAAACCAGGCTGCTATTGCTAATGGCTACCCTTAGTTTAACTTCCAGAAAAGCAGTCCCCTGAGATCAAGACTTTGAGTGAACAAAGAAACTCACCACTGAACACAGTCAGAAGGAAATAGGAAATGAATAACTCAGCTTAAAATGTCAGTGTAGATGTTTAACTCCCAGGCATTATCAGCCTGCAATAAATTACTCTCAACCCTCAAGAATGTCAGCTAATCATTAGCCAAGACAAACAGATTTCTCACACTCCTCCTTGAGCTTTTAACATCTTATGGACTAATGAAGTGCTAAATTAAGTTCAGGAAAATGATAAACTGTCACTCCCCAAGTAACAAAATGGTGACAGGTTTATGGTAGTAGCCCAGGAAAAAATCTGACTATCCCAGTAATGAAAGAAGCAGCTCAGAAACTCCCCTCTCAGTTTAACATGTAAGCACATGCAATCCACTTCTAAGGCTGGACTATGGGATGCTACTATCCTAATGAACTGACTGCAAGGACTTGAGTCATTGATGGACTGTTTTCAAGACAAGTTCTAATCTCAGATGTTCACTCAGATGGGTCCTGGCAAGAACAAGCACATGGTGACAGAACCTTCATTACCTAACATCCCTCGCTCAGTCTATCATTGCAATATTCCTTTCAACACATTACTTGCTCAGTCTACCATCTCATAATTCCTTTTAATACTCAGTGATGACGATGACTGTGCAGTTTGCCTGTTTCTCACCTAAGATCAGGCTGTGCACAGGACTAGACTTGAGCATTTTCTGTTCTGCTTGGTTTGAAGCCTGACAAAGAAAGGTTTTAGAAAGGCAGGAAAGCTTGGCTCAAAGTCATTAATTCCAAGCAACTGATAACATACCCTCAAGATAACGGCTTCCACAAGACACTGTGCAGTGTTAAAAAGAAGTGCTAGCAGTAAAATCAAAACAGAACAGCCATATCCCTCCCCTCTGGACAGTTAGCCCTGCCACTGTGCCCTCCTGGCAGTTAAGGTGTTATTGGTGCCAGATCGAGCTCAGGAGTCTCTGCACTGCTCTCTTGATCAAAAGGTGGCAATAAGCCAACATGGCCCATTTCTAGTTGCAGCCAATCTTTAACAGAATATTTTCCTTGCTTGATTTGTTCTGCAAGTACAGCCTTTGCACACCAGGGAAAAAAACATTCTCAGTGCTCCGCAAGTAGCTGGCTGACACTCAGATTGTGACACTGGCTTGGCACGGCTGCTTCTGATGCAGAGCTGTATGTGCTACTAGTGTGCTGAAAGCATGGCTCATAGCCATGTTCTCCCTATATCCCATGACAGGAGACTATCATTATACATAATCACTGTGATCACCCACAATGCTGAGCTCCCGTGGGACCCAGCAATGCAACAAAGCATCTCAAGGTAAGTTTTACTCTCAAGTCTGCAGGCAAGAAACTTGAAATCCTCTCCTTTCCCTGCTCCAGTGTTCTAGCCCTGCAGCCAAGAAGCTACATCTCTAATATCAAATTCAACCTCCAGCCATATGACCCTGTTATGATCTTACAATGAATCGTCTACCTTGCCCTCATGTCCATCCTTCTACAGAGCAGGCAGGTAGCAACTTCCAGCCTTCACTAACTCAAACAAAAACAGAACTCCAAAGCAGGGTCCTGAACATATCAACTCTGCTCGTACTATCCAAGCCCTGCAGCACGTTTAGTATCACTGGCCTCTATTTTGACTGACATCAAACTGCTAAGCTTCACTGCATGCAGCACTGAAATTATCTTTATCTGAATCAGTGAAGGTGTGTGTACTGCAAGTTAAGCCATGCAGTAGGAAAAGAAATTTCATCCACATCTCGTATGCACAGAGGTACATGTAGTGTTTACTATACCTTTTCTCTTTGCTGGAGAATGCAGGATACCACAGCTGTCATGCAGAGTAGAATTTGTAGAATTTCAGGCAAGTACTGACTGATCAAATGTCCCATGTTTTTCAACACAACTTCGAGACCATTGAAGAGGCTGTGTTGACGCCCAAGAGGCAGGACTTTAGCTAAATCCAATTCTGACATACTTCGAAGCACTGCTGTCTGGCAAGGCCCTGTTACAAAGGGACACTTACTTAGAAAAGCACTGTAAAAGCACTGAAAATAATTTTCAATAAATAATAGTATAACTTAGCCCAAAGTTACAGTTTCTTAGATTCATCTTTTTAAATGAAGGCAGTTCCACATATTCATCTCTGTGACATTCAGACATTTCCCATTGCTACAGTATCAGAGCACTTTATAACCTCTTTCTACTCTTTATAACATCTGTTTACTGCCGTCATATACTGGTAGCCCTGTGCAAAACAGCACATCACAAGGGAGGGACAGTACAGAGGCTGCCAAGCAGCCAGCTCAGCCTACAACATCAGTAATTGCTCACTCCTGGCCTGCCATGGCTTACTTGCAAAGCTGTAGCAAGTCACTTCATTTTTCTGAACTCAGATATTTAAAAGATAGCAATCGTGTTTTGTAAGTGAAACAGGGAAAACCCAGTCCCTGGGATTCTCACCCTTTCATCCTTCCAAAGAAACTGTCAGAGACAAAGAGCACCAGGTGCCTGCACCTACCATGGCTGAATTGCTTCACAGCTTCAAAGAGCAGATCCAAGAACATCCGGATCTCTTCTGGCAGTGAGCCGGCCAGAAACCGCAGAACGATGGACATGCGAGTGGCTGCCGCAGACTTGCCCTGTGTTTTGTTCCCCGTTTTGTTTCTCATCCTGCCATAGAGAATTCTTCAAGAGCCAAAAAGAGGTTGTATTAGCTTTCAGCAAGCCATCTGCTTCCTTACCCCTTTCTCTGTGGGAGAAACTTGTCTTGGTTTAAAAGCTTTGCCCAGTGTGAATAAATCAGATGGTAATTCTCTCTTCAGGGACTCCTCTGAATGACTACACAGCACTCAGGAACATGCCAGCGAAAGATCAGCTTCTGCTTTTACTATAGCAGACTTCAGATACAAAGCTAAAATACCAACAGGCTAGCTTGAGGGCATTCACTGCTGAAGAAGCAATCTATACAACCTGCATTGTTATATCTTAGTAGGAATAAATGGTAATAAATGATGAATTGGAATGTCTCACAGTATTCTTAGAGCCTTAGAAGAAACAGTATTTAGCAAAAGGACACCAATTGCCTACCACATTGCATAGTGGCATTAAGAAGGAAGCTACGTATAAGATCACAAACTACAAAGTCAAACTATACCATTAACCTTAGACTTATCTCAACTGTTTAAAATGAGAAGCAGCAGCATCACATCTCTGCTCACAGTACTTTGACATGAAACCTTCACCCCAGCACTTTGTAACTAACCTCATCAGAACAGGGACAAGATGTGGTCGATGCTCCATTTTTACGATCGTGTTCTCCTCAGAAATACTGAAATGGACTATTTCTTCTTTAAAGCTCTTGTCCTCCAGCAGTCTTTGCAAGTTCTCCCTGAGAGTAACAAATATCATTTGTTGGGCAGACGGGGGCTGTAAGAAGAAACAGACACTCACACACCCCCCATCTATCTCTACCTTCCTATCTATGCCGTATGCAAGTTAATAAAGTATAGTGTTCTCAGTCTTTTTAAAAAATACACTTTAAAACTCATTAAGTTTAAGCTAATCCTGTAAGAAGTATCTTCTGAACACGTTCTGAAGAGAATATTCCATCAACAGCTACAGTTTTATGCAGCTGTTTTTACTGGATGGTTATAAACCACTGCAACAAAAGACCTCTTCAAAAATGATGCAATTGCTGAGCACATTTGTGACAAAATGAAAGTACTGCAATTTTTCTTTTTTGCCAGAAAAGACACACTGACATACTACTTCCTTATGGCCTTATTTTCTGTTTTAGGTAGGAAAAATACAGCTGGCTAAGATTAGAATTTATGTTTCTTCAACAAACACAAGCAAGGAAGGCTATCTGAGGCAAGTGATTCCAAGCAGATGTATGATAGCAGACTCATTCCTGATACTAAAACAGTGCAAAGATTTTCACCTGTATGGCAGTAGATGAGGATGCTTGTATGTCATGATACAGTCAAGAGCTATTCTCTGCACACTCTGGTCTTGGTGGGACAGTAACTGCAGGTGACAAAAGAAAGGAAGTGAGCCATATCCAGAATTGCAGAACTGCCTAACAAAAATAGCTGAACAACCCAAAACTTCCAAACTCAAGCATGTTTTGGATTACTCTGCCAAAATAAAAGCAGAACATGTGTTGCAAGTCTAATGTTGAGATGTGTAAATACAACTGTCACTCATAAAAACCAGATGTAGCTGCTGGCAGTTTATACACACACCCCAGCCCCTTGACCCCAGTAGCCAAGTTATAATTGTTTTTTCACAATCATCTTTTTGGGCCACCATCAGCTTGAGTTTTCAGCCTCAGCTGTGCATCTAGTAAGACCAGATTAAATAGAAGGCTACTCAAACCAACCCTAGACACATGCCTTTCCTTCTTTTGACAAACAAAATACTCATCAGACCTGATATACAAGGCCTCGCTCAGATTCACCTTCTCTAGAAGATTAATCCTCACAGCCTAGGCACCAAAGAAATACAGATCATTTCCCCAAGCTACATCCTTATCAGCTCTTCAGTCTCCTACGAAACAACACATGCTGCAGTCATCAAAGGTCACTCTGCTACACCGTTCTTTTGACAGCTGGACACACCAGTGATAATAAATGTGCTGACACACTGTACACATCTGCTCAGTATTTTCCCAAGAATACGTAAACACATGGAACAACTGTGCCTGTGCAAAATTCTCAGGTTGACTGACCCAGAGCTGATACTCCTCAGAAGCTCTCAAGTTTGGGAACAAATAGACCTTCCAACTTGCACAACAAGAACCAGAAAGAACCTACAGCAGAGAACTAGTTAAGTTCACATCATTTAATATAGTTCTACAGTCCATGGACTGCACTGTCAGAGAACACAAACTGAGATCAGAGTAAAACCCAAACATCTGAACAAATCCAGAACCAACAACATATGACATAATTAATGAAATGCACTCTTAAGGGTGCATCTCACTTTTAGATTCGTTTTCCTGTTTTCCTTATTCAAAATTAGAATGGAGTCTTGGTTAGATAAGGATTATCTAGGCTCTACTCTTCAATTCTTGTTTGCTTCTTTTTCACTTAATGTCTGTTTATCTTCAGTTTCTATGTTATTGATAATGACAGTAATACACTACGCACAGCAAATGTACGTTCGTATGCCAGCAAAGGGCTGCTATCATCAGCCACTAGAACCAATCAAAGGAAAAAGAGGGAGAGAGACTTCTTTCCACAGAATTTTTTTTTTTTTTCATAATGATGACTACTGTTCCACTTCTATTCTCCAGATGCTAGACAGGATGAAGATCCTGAATTTAATACATTTTGTATCTCAGAAGTCACAATGACAAATGTTGACAGCCGTAGGCCTACAACAATTTGATCTGTTCTTCACATCAACCGTGTTCCCTATTGATATAACACTGTATGACAATAACAAATGCCTTCAGCTCTTCACCAGGCTTTGGATTCAAAATCCTCTTACAGATCTTGCTGTGCCTCCTGCTCTCCTTACAGCCATGTTTCCACACTGCCAAGGCCCATTGCTTTTTCAGTTGCCAGATCCATTCAAATGACCCACTCCTGAGAAACTGAATCAGTTATCTCAAAAGCAGGTCTTTGCTAAGTGGCTCACTTCACCTGAAGCCTGCTACAAAGCCTGCTCAAGCACAGCTCCTTTTCTAGCTAACGTGGCTGAGTTCAGAAAACAACAGGGTTTTACAGTTGCAGGCACTGCATTCAGAAAATGGTGCATTTATGAGCAATTTTTCTAAATGCCAGCAAGTACCTGGGTATACAATGCATTTAGCTTCTGCTCCAGATACAATGCACGAGGATTGGAGAACTTAGAGAAAACCTGTAAGTGAGCTATCAGTTGCCTGTAAAACAAAACAAAACAATTATCACAACATTAGGGAAACTTTTTATAAAGTTGATTAACAAGAAGGAAAACTCAACAGGATCCCAAGTCTATAGTCTCTATTTCAGAGGTATGGCAGGTTGTATCCTGCTCTCTCACCTACACAGTTTCTCCTAGGTGTCACCTCACTGCAAAGAGAAGGCCACTTCCTCAGTAGCACTGGATGGGCTTGGTCTTTGGTGTGAAAGGAATACAGTCAGGATGCGGCTTACTTCTTCCCAGCCTATGCTTGGAACTTCAAACTTGAATTCATCTCTTTATTTACCTGTCCTTAACTTCTATCAACATAAAGGACTGCATTTAACCACAGACTGTGCTGAACTTATGCCATGCTACAGGCACAGTCAGGAAGAAGTTCCTATAAAAGAGGCTTTGCCACCCCCAGATCTGCCCCCCTGGAGAGAGGCAACTGAGGTAAGGAAGAGGTTAAGACTTCATCTACCACATGTGCTGTGGGGTAGGCAGAGGCTGTCCCCATTCAGTGTCTACCCACAGTGGTTCACACTCAACCCTCCAGATGTTCAGCTAGGCTGAGCCAAACATCTGCCAGCAACCCCACAAGGAGCACAGGGCAGCCATGGGTTCTCCTGCTGCACCAGCTAGAGGTGAGCCATCATCAGTGAGAGCCCCAGGTCAGTAGCACAGAGCTGGCAGCAGCTCTGCCCAGGGCCCAGACAAAAAGAGGTCACTCCAGAACTTATTAACACGTCTCCAGCAAATCTTTTATAGACTTGTTACCACTAGGAGGAACTAATACTTCTACTTAAGTACGTGGACATTCTGAGATGGAAGTTTTGCTTTGCTTTTTTATTTTTTATAAAAATCTTGAACTGTCACTGAATTTTTATTGCTGCTAAATTCTAGATGTAAGCCAGAACCTGAGAGCAAAATCAAGAATTTTGTTCACCTTTAAGGAACCTGGGATTACATATCAATATAGGTGACATCTCAAAAACTCATAGTGTTCCAAAATGTAAGGTGATATTTTGAAGTTCTCTGTGATTACCAGCACTATTCTTTGCAAAAACAACAACAAAAAACAGGCAGAATACAAATGTAAATGAATTGCTTGTAATGGACACTTTGACAGATGTTATCAACTTAAAGAGACTACACTAAAGAAATCACAGAGAATTCATATAGACCCACTTCCTCTAAGTATTCAGTATTGTAAAACACTGACATTACAATGCCATGGAGCTTTGTATCAGCAAATGAAAAAAAAAGTGTAACAACCTGTGTCCACAAGAAGACAAGTGGGATCAAGATATTTAACAGGTAGATAATAACAGGATCCCAGTATCAAAAATACCTAACTGAATAGTCTGAATCTTTAAAGTGTTTGGCAACGCCCATGGTTTTAAAAGATCAAAAGATACAAACAGAGAAGCTAAGGGACTACAGGTACTTCACAATGGCTTCAGAATACCACATCACTTAAAGTAACAAAACCACAGCATCTCAGATATAATGATAAAGCCCGAACAGGTCCTTTGTATGGCACTATACAAACAGAATTTGACTTTAAAATTCTTAAAATCCACTGGAAAAAAGTGCAAGCAAAAGAAGAAAAATGAATATGCCTACAAATAGTTTTTATCTTGGCAGAAATCACTGAATCTGACTTCCCATGAAATTACTAGGAACAGAAAACTAAAAATACTTACTTAGCAGCAGCTCTTCTTGTTTTCTTTTTTGGAAGCCCTACAGTAATCGGTTCTCCTTCTTCCTTTTCTTCCTCGTCTTCCTCCTCCATATTAACATCGTTAACTTCTTCACCTGATACTTCTTTTGCTATGACTGTACCAGTAGTTTTCTTCCTAAGATCCTGAGTTGGAGCCACTAACGAATCTGCTGGGTAGTATTCATTTCTTTGTTAAAAAAAAAAAAAAAGAAAAGAAAGAAAAGAATTAGGAAGCATTTTTTCAGGGTTTCAGGGCAAGAACAAATTCAAACTGTACAAACCAGAATTCTTGTTCATGTTGCTGTGTTTTGGGATGCTGTACAGCTAAAAACTTTCAAAGGAGTGTCTTGCACCAAGTACAAGCTTCTTTGCCTACAAGCTGCAGCGATGCAAGGCAGTAGTCATATATGCTAGAGAATACTGAAGGTACCAGGTGAAAAGGGGAAAAGAGAATCACTGAGTTATGAGAATTCCGTAAAAAGGCTTTGTGCAGGGAAAGGGGGGTTGTGTTTGCTAGAGTGAGCAATGAACAGCACGTATGGCAGTGTGAGAGAAAATGCAGGAAACTAACGTAGCACAGTGCAGTTTATTTTTCCAGGAAGGCAAGCAAAACATAAGCATTCTAATTATAGAAAAGGACTATTAGAAACTCTTCCCTGCCATGATGTCACATCTACCCCACGTGCATCATACTCCAACAGAATCCACTTTTCAATCAAAAAGTTATGTTAGCTGGGAACAGGTATCGTATCAGGAATGCATTTAGGAAATAGTCTATAAAGAACTAGCTGTTGACTCAAAGCTCAGCAACACCAAAATCAACAGAAAGCGATGTGTCTTCCCAAAGAACATGTGAAAAGTACTTACCTAATGAACCTCAGAAGAAGCGGGGAAAGTTCCCTTGACCTGGGCTCCACCCTGTCTGGGAACTTCTCTAACGCTTTCCACAGCAGAAAGCGGAAGTTTGTGTGGTCCAACCGCTCGCTGCAGTCTGTTCTTGTCCCCAGCTGCTCCAGGAAGACAGTGCCCACCCCTCCTTCTGGTATCTTCTTGCTTTCAGTTTCATCGATGTTTTCCTCCCGTTCGTCCAATTCATTTTGCAGTTCCATTTCTATACAACAGATGTTATGAAGTAAATATCTTCAAGTTACTCCAGTCAGCAGAAAGAGATCTGCACCCTGTTATGAAAGTAAGACTCTTGATGCCAAGCATCTGCTCAGACAACTATGTTTAACTCTGACCTGAAAGGCCCATGTTGCTTAGGAAGTACTCCAGGATGTCTTACAGCCCTGGCAGCTTAAATGAGTTCAATTCTCTTGAATAACAGAGAAACCTACAAGCGGCTGCATGCTCACATCTCTACTGTGAACACATTCTCCACACATTCATAGATGTATCTAAAGAATACACAGTCAAGAAAGGCATAGTGCCTGCAGAAATACCACTCAATCTATGTAATAGAAAGATTATGTATTCCATTATACAAGTTTCTTCATTGTTCCTATCAGACTGGAAAAAGCCAGCCTTAAGCAGAGATGAAGTTGTTGCGTGGCTCCCCAAAACATGTGACTCCCCTCATACTGGGGACATTTCTATCTACTTCTTGCTATTTAGGACAAAAGAAGGCACAGCTCTCTCTCAAGCGTCTGCATTCCTGCCCTGGACGTGACACTGGCAGTCAAGAGCTCTGGTTCTGAATTCCTCCATCACATGTAAATTTGGGACACATGAAAACACGATCGCATGTCATTCACAATTAACTAGGTTTCTGTCAAAATACCATTTAGGAGCTGATCCTTACCAGCATAGGCAGCAGCCCTCTCCAGATGTTCATAAAAGACCTTCCAGAACTGTTTATTTTCCATTTCCTTTGCATGAGAACTAACAAAACATAAGAGCATGGAATTAAAAGAAAAAAGAAAAACCATGCATCAAGGGAAGCTAACAGCTAATGCAATCAGAGGCTTTGATTATAGCTTTAATGAGAGTGTCCAAAGATAGGACATCTGCAGGACACAGCTGTAGCACTTCCTTGCCCTCATTCATGAATCCCAAATGTCAATTATTCAAATAAGCGGGTTGTATTCCATGACTTCAAACAAACTCAAATTAACTAAAAATGTTCTTGAGCTTTCCACTGACTTCTGTACAGTAATATCATACAGAACCAATGAAAGAATTAGTGTGAATGTATCTTTAGGAGAGCTGGTTTAATATTACTTCATTAATACAATAGTTTGATGTGACAAATGTCATCCTTTCTGATTATACAACAGAGAAGAAAAAAAACAAGGAGATAACATCATGCTGAAAGCAGAGACATTTACTTCAGTATTCAGCTTAGCAGATGCCATGGTACAACTTCCCTACTCTTTAGTAGAATTTAGAGGTTTTCCAGTAAGGACAGAAAAGTCAGGAGATGAGAAAATTGAAAGGCGCCTTCTGTTTCTTGAGTATTTGTGAAACATTAATCAAATCTTGCCATCTTGGACTCAAACTCTGATGCTATTTAATTATATTTGTTGCAAGCTCCTTTTAATAGTGAGAAAAAAAACAAAAGTTAAAAACTAACACACTACACCGATTATAATATGAGAGATCAAAACAGTTTGGAAAGATTTCACACAAAGTCTCTCATACATGAATCTCTTCAAATCAGACATTTTAAACTCAGCTTTTGCTCACAGAACAGTCAGAGAATACCCTGAGTTGTAAGTAACACATGAGGATCATCAAGTTCAACTGCTGGCTTCACACAGGGTAACTCAAAACTCAGACCATATACCTGAGAGCATTGACCGGATGCTCCCTGAACCCCATCAGCTTGGGGCCATGACCGCTGGGTAGCCTGTGCCAGGGCCCAGCAACTCTCTGATGAAAAACCTTTTTCTAACACCCAACCTGACTCTCCCCTGAAGCAGCTCCATGCCGTTCTCTTGGGCCCTGCTGCAGTCACCAGAGAAAAGAAATCAGCATCTACCTCTTGTGAGGAGGCTGTAAGATCACAATGAGATTGCCCTCAGCCTTCAGTGGAAGAAACTGTCCTGTGAAACAAGCACAGACTGCAGCATCCAGTCACATATACTCACGTTATGAGTTCAATTACAGGATCCCAGAGAGGGCTGAAGTTAATATAAAGCATTCCCAGTAAATACCGAAGAGGCACCTAGAATGACATAGAACCATCTTGTTCAGAAGTTAAGAACAACAGTTAAAGACTAACCAACCTCCTCTAACCTTTCCTCCTCTCAAAGAAGAAACTTTGATCTAAGAAATTCTCAGAAGTACTACTTGCAATGAATCAAGTCACACACATCATTTTTTGTCTCATAGCTACATGATGAAATTTGTAGATCCTGCTTACTCTAAGCTGCACTGATATCTATCCACCACATCTATGTACTGTGAATGTGCAAAAGCCAGTTCTGTACCGCAATGCTAAACACAGATGGACCAACCTATAGCTCCTCCTCTGAGGAGTTCACAAGTCAAGGCAATAAATGAATAAATAAATAGAAGTACTACCACAGCCGTAAAAATAATAATGAATAAATCCTCCCTTCCCCCCTCCACGAACATTTTACTAGTAGAAATGTGACCCTTTCAGCATCTACAAAATGAGAGGTGAGAACTCTTTTTGCACAATTGTACACGAGATGTAACAGCCAGATGGAAGACAAGAGTATCACTCTGCAGCAAGATCCAGAAGCTATGTTTGCCAGTGGCCAGAAGGAATCGTACCAGTGTGGAACGAAGATGAGTGTATAGTAAGGTCATAGTTCTACATTTGCTGACAATTCACTTCTCCCTAGAATGAGTTGTCCTCCTTTCCATAATAACCGATCAAACTGTCTATCCATTTATCTAGGTACCACCACTGCTCAAGAAAACACAATAGTCTCAAGGACAAACAAGAGCTATGAACTGGGATCTAATGCATTTTTTATGAACTCTTATTAAAATTTCTGAAATTCATGGAATGGAAGTATTGGAAATATTGGAACTGCCAACTGACAGAAACTACTTACCTCCTGCAAAGATCCACTTGGTATTGCGGACAGCACTATATCACATCTCAATTTCCTCAAATGGAGAAGTTTCTCTCTGTAATCATTCACTGTCGCTGGCACAAGCTCTGCTTGGAGCAGTATGGCAAATACTGACTGGAGGTCCCCTGTGCCATCACTCTGAACAAACAAATGACACAGATTTTGTTGGACTATCCTTTTCCTACTGAAAGCTATCTCAAGAAAACTAAACAGAGTCTGAGCTACTTTGAATCAGAAAACAAAGTCAAGATGTTTGTTCCAGTTTTCATCATTTAGGGACCAGAACTTACACACGTGAAAACATTAGAGGGCAAAGAGATGAAAGATAAAACTGGAACATGAAAGCACAAAACCAGAGCACAATCTTGGGTAGAAACATGCTCTGCTCCTGAAAAGCAGGCAACGGTTCACAATCATCAAATCAGACTGATTCAAAATGTTAAGGGAGAAGTATTAGCCTTACCACCATTACTGTAGAAGGTGGAGTCTCAAAGTGGTTTAGAATACGGACAGTTAAGAGTCGAACCTGTCCAAAGTGGAAACATATGTCAGAAGCATGCAGGAGAATGCAAGCTGCATATACAGACACACAGTTACACAGAGGTTAATGCCCTGCACAGGATGTTGATTTCCACCAGGTTCCTTGCTAAGCTGAGAAACAGATGAGCTCCTCTGGTCTAGCAGGCAACTCAGAACGAATACAGTAGACTTCTGATCTGTTTCCATCTCTAGGGAAGAAGTAAGCCTCCCAGGGCTAAGACTTCTGCAAACTCATGCCCTGTGGCAGCCTCTTAGAAAAAACAGATATAAACAAATGCTACAGAAGCAATTCTTTTACAGTCTCACGTTTCTCCTGTCAGTCTTTCTCATTTAACCTAACTTACTTAAATTACTTTGTAAAATACAATCCATATAGTATGTTCTAAAAAAACAACAACAAAAACAAAAGGCAGATTACCTTGGAAATACCAGTGGAGATATTAGGTTGCAACTTCTCAAACAAGTCCATTAGGTTCCCTTGGGAAAGAGGTTCCTGGCAGCCGCACAATGCCAGTCTTGTGTAATAGAGATCAGCCAGCAGCAATGCTGATGGGTCTGAAGGGAAAGTGCTAAAACAGAGAGTGTTTTATTAGCATACAGAGAGCACTGTAGCAATACAGATATTTGAAAACAAGGCAGCAGTGACAATAACAGCATTAAGGGATCTCAGGATGGTGAAGCCAGAATTCACCAACACACTGCACACAGCTTCAAAGACAGTACCTAAAGCAGACTCAGAGGCATGAGATTCCTCCCTTTGTTATAATTAGGCCTATCAAGCTGGGGCTGGTCAGCTGGACCCACATACAGACAGCTTCAGAAAACAAATCTGCTGCCGCTGCATGGGTGCCTGGTTAGTGATCAACTGCAATGGAAAAGAAACAACAGGGCCCCTACATGGGCTATCAGTTCTACCATCACCAGGAATCTTGCCTGCTCACAGGGAAACCTCCTAATGCCAACCAACATCCCTTGCTCCAAGAGGGATTTACACATGCAGCACAAAGATGACACAAAAGCACTACAATGAAACTCCCTGCCAAGACTTCCTGCTTTATCTGGGCAAGTTGCTTTGCCTCCATCATGTCCCAGACATGGGCAGCATGCTTTCTTATCAGAGCAGGATGTTTTGAAACTCAGGCCACAAAAGACTTGGAAATGCTCTAAGCAGAGCAATGATGGGAGATGACAAATTCAGCAGGATTTGCTGGATCAACAGCCTCCCTCAATCTCTCCACTCATTCAGTTACATGTGTTAGTTTTAAGTAGAAGGGAATTGTAATAACTAAAACTGGGTATACAAACAACTGAGCATACTCCCACTGTGAAGCAAACATACAGGTGGATATGTAAGGTCACAAAGGAATCCCAACACTGCCAGCAGACTGCTGAATCTCAAGTTTTTGACACAACTCAGAATGCACCATTACTAAGTGTAGTGCTCTTGAAAAACTAGAAGCAACATATTTAACACGCTACTGCTGCAGTTGGCTAAGAAAGCTTGGGTTTGCAGAGAAAATACCACCAAACAGGTATTATACCTATACAGTTCTCTAAATAGTGCCTACAACATTGCTACCTTAAATTACCACAATACTGAAGCAACACACTAGTGTAACTGAACAGACAACTCACAAAAAGGCATTAACGTTCTTCTACGTATAAGGCAAGTCAACTCTTTCCCATATGAAGGAAAATCTCTGACAATCACAGAACAGGCAGAGCTTACTTACGTCACCAAGTTCTTGACACGCTCCACAGGCAACAAATGGAGTATTTCAGAAGACTCTGTCAAACTGAGAAGAGTACTTACAGCTTGGCAGGCCACAAACAAGCTCCCTGGAGCAGAGAGAACAAGAACAGTCTGTATATTTACTCAGGTCTCAACAACTTGTGCTTGCAGGGTGATTGCCCTTCCTGAAATAGCTAGAGTAACACATGGATTCCAGAACTGATATGTGTGTTTTCTAACACCTATAACCCATAAAGGAAACATTTCTCTGTCTAACAAAGTAAATGCCTACTCTAGCAAGCTACTGTTGAAGGCTGTGAGCAGCTCCCAGTTTGCATCTGCCTCCATCACACCCATGTATATGTGAAGATAAGATCTGAAGCTAACTAAGCACTGACACAGAAGCCTTGGCTTTATGCTACAAACGGCTGTATTGGTCTTATTTGGCAAAGTTTGAGTGCTGGGGAGGTTGCAGGGAGGGCTCTGTGAGCAGAGCCAGCTCCAGCTGTTCCAGCAGCACCCTGCTGCAGATTTAAGGATGGAGGAAAACTGCTGTGCAACAGCAGCTGGGGGAAAGGAGTGAGAAATGAGAAACAGTTCTGCAGGCACCACAGCCAGTGCAAAAGGAACACAAGAGGTGCTCCAGGCCCTGTATGAGATCTTCAAAGCTGTCCCACACGCTTAACAGCTGATTTCCTATTACTCAGTGGATGCTGGGTTTACCAAATATTGTTATAGCAGCAGCACCCCCTTCATAAACCTCCAACCTCCTCTGGGGATAGAGGGTTTCCCAACAGTACGGGTCATTCAAAGCCCTTCCAGGCAAGAAGGGGAAGGGCAAATTCCATTCCCTGCCAGCCTTAAGTTACTTTAAATTATTACTTTCTTTGTCTCCTCCTAAGCTGTATTCCAGCTTCAAACCTGATTTTCTGCACTCCCAAGCAACTTTAGAAAACCACCTGGCTCTGGGACACGCACAGTACCTCAGGCTAGATGCCAGGCAGACCTAACAGGGAGCACAGGGCTGGATGCACCTTGCATAGGCAATGGGAGGAGACTGGAGTCCTAGTACAAGGTGAAGGGGTTGTAGAGATCACAGAGCTGAAGAGAATGCGAATGATGGACAAAGTGCTCAGAAATACCAGTTTGAAAGAAAGGTAAGAAAGCACAGTACAGGGCAACAGAAGAAAGAAACATAGGACTGACACTACATTTGTTATCTTTTCTTTAGCAGCAAAGGAGGAAATGGCAAGATGCCTCTTCTTGGGCATACACAGAGCTGGTGCACAGCTGCTACCGCTGCTACTAAGAACGCAATCCACAAAAAGGTTCGGGTATTTTCTTTCTAGAGTAAATAATTACAAGTCACATAATCATGAAAGCATGCAAAATCTGTAAACAAGACAGAAGAAAGAGCTAAATCAAAAAGGACCATGCTTGACAAACACTAGAGAGGAAAAAGCAGAAGAACCAGTCAGCAGATATAGTCAACAATGTTAATCAAGAGAATACAAAGGAGAAAGACCAGGCGCTAGGTAAGCCCTTTCAACCCACGGAAGAAAAAACACTGAAACTGGGGCATTCCAGTACTTGCTCACACTTTGTCACAAAGCCAAATGCTTGAGATCTCTTTGAGTACTCAACTGCCCTGTACCACACAAGCTAAGCTAGAAGATTTTTTTTTCTTTTCTGGCCAGTGATACAAGACAACCAGCAAGGTTCCTGTGACAACCCATGCTCAGAGGGAGGATACATCATTTTATTACTGATACTCTTATTTATGTCAAAGATGATAAGGCTCCAAAATTTGAGTAATAGGTTTAGAACAGTCTAATTGGAGCCTGTCAGTCAATAGTCTCTCCTTCACTTGACTGCTTCAGCCTGGGTCTGGCTTGAAAGGATTTCCATTCTCTTTTATATGACTCTAATTTTTATTCTCAATTATCTTGATCAGGCTTCAGTTTGGACAGTCCACCTTCTACTTTGTGGAACATCTGCCACTCCATTATGACTACCAACAACAATTGCAGAATTGTTTCCTGGAGGGTGTTTCCCTCAAGCTTTGCTTTTCTAGTTTTACTGCTCAGTACATTTGGATACAATACTATTGCTATTCATTTTCATGTTTTGTATCATCAGCAAAACTACTTTTTTTATTCTCCCTCTTAGGTCTCAAGAGAAAGTAAACGAACAGGAACTAACAGTAACTGACCTTTGCAGAGGCCTCCTTTGTCAATGGCTGTGAACAGAGAATCTATAAAACTTGTCACACAGGGCAGGATCATTTCTTTGTCCATTGGTCTGTTCAAAATAAATGGGAAGCCTTTTATCTCTATGTTGACACTCACACCTAGACACGTACAAATATTTCCTTTCACATCTATCTCATGTTAAATTACGGAGAGGTTATCCCAAGTCTGAAATCAATAGCAAACCATATTTGCTATTTCTGAGTCACAATTTAAGCTGCAGAAGAGCAAGCTCTTTCCGAAGCCTTCTGTCACACAAGAATATAATAATTATTGAAAACACTGCCGTCTAGAAAGAATGGTGCTTAAAAAACAGAAACAGAAATGTGTAAGAACAACTCCACATGCTAGTGTACTAAATTTAAAGGAGCAGGCAACCAAGAAACTGATATCCCACTCCTGAGTTTACCACGGACCCAGTATTTCCACACAGCTTTTTTTTCCACCTTTCTACCCCAGTTACCCCAAACTAGTGTTAATAACTCTTGAGTTTACCTGATTTTTGATAGATGGTGAAGTAGATAACACTACAGAAATACACAGCAATAGCACCTTAGAGTATCCCTTACCTAATATGTGGCAGCACAACCAAGGCAACCCAAGGCTGTGAAAGGTCAGTGATGTCTTTGTTCTCTCGTAACTGGATTAGAGACAGCACATAATCAAGCACTGGTACTTCTGCCCTTCCTCCTTGTCTTTTACTTGTTTGTTGTCTTGTATTAGAGCTAGAAATAAAATCAAAAGTTTTTAGTAACCCACTAAGCCCCCTGCACATCAGAGACTGTTCCTTTTTCCTCCCACAATATAAATGTAACTTGTTTCCCATGCAATAAATTCAGGTCTTTATTTTGAATTTTAAAAGCCTTTCTAGAAGGAAAGAGTCTAGTTCTCAGTTAGACATCCTTACAACTAAGGTGAGAAGCACCTGAGAGTCATCTCTAAGATTCAGAGTGATTCTTACTTATTAACAACCCAGATACTAGCAAAGATTAACAGAAGACAGAAAATAGCTAGCTAACTGTGGTAAATTATAAGGAATCACAAGCTGAGCCCAGATTCAAAGCTGTATCTTCAGGTACAAAGAGCTGACACCATACTGGAACATATAAACAGAAATACTTCACACCTCATGGAAAGTAACTTTTCCATTCCACTCAACACTTGCAAGACCACAGCTGGATAGCTCCATGAGCTCCACCCTTCAAGAAAGCAAGCAGCTAACAAAACATCTCATAAAAAATGATTAGAGGTTTAAGAAATAAAATATATCAGATAAACCTCAAGGAATTAGGATTGCAGGTCCACAGAAACGATTTGTGATGTTTCTAAGGATCAAAGTCTGTTATTTGTAAAAGCTGGATGCAAAGAGGATGAAATAATCTGTTCTGTATGTTTCACGCAGACAAGATAAGCAGCAAGGGATTTAATCTGCAGCAAAGGAAGTTTAGTTCAGACACTGACATTGCAGGAGCAACATCCTCTCAGCTATGTATTCCATATCACTGAAAATCCAGAAAAATCCACAGAAAAAAATATAAGAAGAGAAAAATCAATTTTTTAAATTTTTTTTTTTAATTATTTTTGACTCACAGCCTTCTGTTCCCTAAACCTTGATACCTCCACTCAGTAAAAACAGAAGGAAACCCACAAAATAAACTGCTTTGAGGAAAGATAAAATCTTACATAAATGTCAGCATCAGTCACCACTCTCAGCAGGCAAGTTTTGAGCAAGAGTTAACAGCCTTTATCATAAACCTAGCAATGGTCATTCTGTGCTTGACTGCTGTCACTCAAATTTTTCCAAACAGGTTCCAGTGGGAAAGCAAACACCTTGCTGCAGTCAACTTAGCTCTGCAACCAGAAGCAGTCAAGCTGTGCCAGCATAGTGCTGTATTTGAATTAATTATATGCACTATGATACTCAGCTGTGCTCTATGGTAAGATTATATAGCACTGCTTCCAGCAAGCTCCTGGACAAGACAGATTCATATGTGAACATGGCACAGACGGGAGGTCACTAGAGCAGTATCTCTTCTTAAATCATCTCAGAAAAGAAAACAGAATCCCATTGTATCACCTTGCAGGCCTTTTAATCTGCAGACATGCGGACACATGTAGTCTTTGCTAAATCTGAGAAGCCTCACCTGATGGATGATGATTCAGTGAAAAGAAGAGGATACTTTTCAAATGCCATTGAACCAACGGTAGGAGGCTCTGCTTTCACCAGAATGAGTTTAGCCAGAACTGCTGTTGCCTGATCCTTTCTAAGTGCATCTGTGCCAGAGAAGCAATGTTCAATGTACTTTAGAAAGCATGGAAGAAAGTGCTGAAGAGGAAAAAGAAAAAAAAAAAGAAAAAGTTTAGTAACATTTCTGTAACCGTCATCAAAACCAGAAGAGCACATAACATCAGCTACAGAGGAAGCCAAGCACAAATGAGCCAAAGCACCAGATTTCTCATCAGTTCTGGAGCTCCGATTCATCAGCACGTAGACATCCTGTTACTGGAAACAGCAGTTTGATATAAAAACTCAGTCTGCTCCCAGGAAAACCAATGTAGTCAGGATCTTCCAGATGCTCAACTGTGCTTTCATATCCCACCCCCTTTGTTTCTTTCATTCCTCCCAGATCACCATTTCCAGGCTCAATCTATCAGATGTTCCTTATTCTTCATTTCACTTATTTTCCCCTCATCCTATCTAAAACAAATCCACATCTTTGCTTCTCAACACTTGAGCTTCTCTCTGTGAACATGGATAGCCTCTTCAACCCTGAGCACCAAGTACTGACACAATGGCATAAGTAAAGCTTTCATTCTTACCACGCTAGAAGTCTGTTCAAACATCATGTCAATACTGATAAGTGATTCATCAAACAAGGCAAATAAATATACTATGAATTTTCCATTTGTAGAAGAATTTTCCTGTTCAGATGTCCTCATCACAATATCTTATGATCCTTTTGGCAACAAAAAATAAACGAAATGCACAAGAGCTTCCACTTACCCTCTCAAATTGCTTCATTGTGAACATTGCTTCAGAAAAGTCCAAAAGAAAGCACCATTCAATTCCACTTCCTAATACCTGCAAAATGCAAAAAAAAAGTTGACAGGAACACATTAAGAAAAGACATCCTATACTTACGTTTCCATTACCCATAGGATATTTTTCCTGGTTTATCAATCAGCCATGCTCTAAACTCTGAGATACCCACCTGGCTTTCTGTTCACAGCTAGCAGAGTTTCTAAGACAGCCACATGCAGCAATACCACTTCCAGTGGCAGCTCAGCTATAGAAGCAGCAGAACCCTTGTAATAAGCCCTGTGAAGTCCAAGCGGGCTCTTGCTAAGACAGCTTAACTATCTCTTCAAAGTGATGTGGAAAACATAGGCTGAAAGTTCTCTGACTGTAGCATAGACAATATAACCTTAGAAAGAAGCTCAGGCACAAAAGGTATTTTAACTCAGTGTTCTTGATGCATATATCCTGGTATATGACTCCACCATAGTTGGCTGCAAAAGGGGGAAGCTGACCTATATGCTTCTGAAGGGAACAAGATGGAAACCATTCCTGTCTGCACATGGAATCAGTGCTTTTCAACACTGTGTTGTGCAACACAGAAATATGCATACAACTTCTTTCCCAGACCCTTCAAATTATAAGGACAGCTTTAAGCCTCCTTCAGATTAACAGAAGCCCGCACAAATTTAATCAAATGTTTCAAGGATCGCCTCTCCTGAACAAAACCGGACTCTTGCCACACATAGGCAGAACCAATCTCTTTCAGCAAAAGCCAACACTGAAATCCACATGATCTTCTCTAAACAATTGCAACAGCCTAATTTTCCAATTGCAAATCACACAACATCTTTATTTTCCATACATTTTTTGAATACAAGGTACAACTATGGCAAAATTATCACGTACTGCAACAGGAAAACCAAAGCAGAGCACTCCATAGCATCATCTCTGATCAATCTGCTACACTGCACTTTATATGAATGTATGCAACTGATCCTGTCAATGTTTATGCAATGGTTATACTAGAATTTGCCTAACCCTGTAGTTTCTAAGTCAGATTTGCCTGAACCATGCTCATTAGCCAAACCCATGTTGTTTGTCAACACAGTGAAAAATATACTTTTTCAATCAAATCCAGCTCACTGACCTGCCTCATAATCTCCGACAGAACACAGTCCCTCTCTGTTCTGTCTTTACTACAGGCTGTTAGTGTTTGAAACAGGACCTGTTTTTCATTGCAAATATGTTTGCCACAGTGGCATTATTATAACAGACTGACAGTTTGTGTAAGACTCTCAAGGAGTCCCAAGACCATAGTAGGCATTATTTTAGGCACTGGGCAGTTTCTCCCTTTTCAGTGCAAAAAAACTAAAGAGATCCTCGTAGTCTACTGTCCAGCCTGAAATGGAGTATCATGAAACCAGACTGCTGTAGGGAACCTGGACTCTGGTATTTCTCCAGTAAGAAGTCTTTGTTACCTTTTCAATAGCTTCTTTGGTCAAAGAGTCAGGTAAGTGAACGTTCTCGGCCAGCAGTAAAGCAGAAATGGTGTTCAGCAGGATCTTGCAGCAAGATGAGGAGAGATCTGGTGTCTGTAACATTTTTATTAAAACCTGAAATGAAAGAGAGGAACTGGTATTGATGTAATAAGACAGGCGCTGTCTGGTCTGAATGACCTAGGTAGTCCCTGGAGCAGGAGGATACAATGTTCTAAGCTTCAGCCTACAAAAATGAATACAAACAGCCCTGACAAAGTTTGAAGGCATGAAATCTGCAGCTGAATTCACAGGGTCAAATATATGTGAATCTGGTAGAACTGCTCTACCATAGGCATGAGGCTAGGGGCACCTAGCTCTCCTTCACAATAGCAGGAATTACAATACAGCATGGTCTCTAGCATCAGCATTCACTTTTCCCCCCTCTTATTTAAAGGAAGATTACATAAGCATTACATGACAGGAAAATTCTCATGGAACTGGAGAGGTAGCAATACTCCCCCATAAATCTCTCTTCACTTAACACAAATCCTAAGCCTGTTACTGCAGCAGGAATGTTTCAGACTGCTTCAGCTGACCATCTATCTTCCAGATTCAATCAATACTTCTCTGGCAGGCAAGGCAAAGTGATGGTCTGACTTACCTGACAGACTTCTTCTGGCTGTGAGATTTTGGATCCATTTGCATGTTCCACTAGGATCAGATACGCTCGCAGAACCCTTTCCATCTGCTCTGAAGCCACACAGCAATTGACTTTAGTTATTTTGCTCTGCAAGTTTAAGAGTGACTCCTGTTTAAAGAAAAAAGAAAAACAAAATGCTTCAGAAAAAAAGATCAGACCCTATTTCATTTACTTCTCCATTTCAAACTATGGGTAGTTAGAGGTCCAAGTACCACACAAATAGGATTATTTGTCAGTGCTGGAAGGACTGCCCTAAATTACGTTTGCACATGTACATTTCCTTCAGTTTCCCATTTCACCCTTCTGAGGTGCAAAGCTGACAGCCATCATTTGCAGAAGGTTTCAATCTCTCTTAGCAAATTCCAGTCCCTAGGAATAAAACATCTACATGGAGATCAGATAAGTAAAACCCACTTGCTATGCCCTTTGCTTATTCTGTGTCATCCTGACCCAGCATAGCCCACGACACTCAGCTCTCCTCCCCCAGACCTCAGAGTGTAACCACCACAATGCAGTGTACAAAAGGAAACACACACACTCTGACTTGCAGGACTTGGCCCTGAGGCTTAAACTCGGCTTTCCAAGTATGGCCCAAGCCTCTGATGTAAAGAGAACTGGAGGGAAAGAAGCTTCCACTTCACCATTACAAAGCTGTTCTGGAACCATCAGTAGATCTGATTCAGCAGAACAGAAGGAAAGCCCAGCAAGGGGCCTGCAATACCCATCTCTGCCAAAGCAGACCCTACAAACACTCTCTGCCCAAATGTGGGACTGAACTCTAAATCTCATCCACAGTGGTTTCCTTCCCACTCACAGGGCAGCACAGCCAACTGGGTCATTATGGACTTGCAAAAAAAGGGTGGATTTTTTCCCCATACACATGACACTCAAGTTAATGTTCCAAAGAAGAGAAAACCCAATTCTGGTCTAACAGGACACAGTTTTCTTGGTAAGTACACACAGCTCTTCTTCAGTCTCTTGTGAACAGAGGCCAAAAAAAAAAAAAGAAAAAAGAAAAAAGGAAATAAGCATACCTTCAGGCACTTGAAAACAATGTCAAAATGCTCCCTATGTATATGCACTGCAGCTGATCTGATCATCTGCTCAAAGGCTTCTCCAATTGTTATCCATGGTAGTTCAGTTTCCTCTTCAGTAACAGGTCCCAGCTTTACCAGAATTAATTTTAGAGCCTGTACAGGAAAAGAGCAGATCACAACCTCAGAAAATAAATCTAATAAATCAAAAAATAAAACTAAATCCTAAAGCCAATTAGGGCAAGATACTATTATATTTCAGTGATCTCAATTCTCTCTAGAATGATTAGCCGAAAAAAAATTAGGTTATCACTTAAAATCTGAATTGTCTTCAGATTAACTTAGAGGGTGTAAAACATGCATCGTGTTATCAAGCAGTATTGTTTTAATATATAGTGATATCATATAGGAATGTTTAAAAAACAATCCATCTCAAAAAAAGGTTTTTAGAAATTGGCTTTCCAATCCTATTAAATAACAAACAGCACATTTATCACTAAGGACCCAGAGAAAGGAACAAGGCAACACTCATTGGTTTCACCCAGTGCTCCATTGCAGAACCATTAAACCAACTTTCTTTTCTTCTGGTCTTTACCGTCTCTGTGCAAGAGTGAAACATGTTTCGAACACCCTTGCACATCTCAAAAAGTAGCCTTCCCACACCTTCCACCTTCTTGGGGTGCTCCCCCAGGTCATGGAACATTAAGTTGAAGAGGGCATTTTTATCAGAAACCTACAAAACACAAGAGGAAAAAAAAAAATTATCTTCTATGACCCACAAGATGGACAGAGGCAATTCAACAGCTCCGCAGCACCACGCTGCACTTCTAAGTCCTGCCTTTCTATACCTGTTCAATGTCATCATTTCTGCAACCACCAAGGGAGCATGGTGAGGCCACTGCAGCTGAGATATGTCCTTTTGGTTATTCTTACCATTTTAGAGTTAAGCATGTGCATAAATGCACCACTGAAATGGTCCCAACTGAAATACAAAGGTCAGTGTTCTGGTGTGGAAGGAGACATGCATCAGCTGAAAGCAGAATCCAGTCATCCAAACTACAATAACACTTGGGAATACTGCAAGGATTTCTGCTCATAGATTTTTAAACCCTCTGTGTCAAAGGACCTGAGGTTCAGCAACTTCTGAAAACAACTCAACAAACATTTACAAACATTTGGCTTAATTGCTCTTAAAGCTGAGTATTACAGTCTCTATTTGCCACTGCTGATAGGAAGTCCATGACATACTTAGGAAAACACTCGCTGAAAACGACAACTCAGGACATGCAGAACGCCAGTTCAGGCCTTGTTAACCCTCCTTTACATAAATCTCGTATGTTGAAGCCATGAGATTGTGTCAAGGTACAAACACCTCACTTACCTTTCTCATTAAAAAGACAAAACTTTCAGCAGCAAAGTTTCTGATGTGAAGCTTGTGATGAGCCAGCAGGGTGCTGTAGAGGCTAAAAAGAAACACAGTAATAAATCGTCTTAAAGGCTGTGCAAGAACTGTCACCAACTGGCTTTAAAAATTATATTTTCAGTTTACAATGCCACATTTTACAAGCACCAAGAAGCCATCCACCCAGGGACAGCAGATACCTTTCTTAATTCCATTCTGTCCCACTCTTCCTGTATGAAGATCAAATAACAACACCAGGCAACTTAAGCTGCAGCCTGGAAACCTGCAGCAATTCTGGATCCATACACGCTGCAGCATCAAGATTTTCAACAGATACACTCAGCAGCACTTAGTTAAACCAAAACTTACTTGATATGCCACATTTGTATTTCAACAAGCTCTCATCTTCAACAAGATGAGCCAACAAGCTCTCCTGTGCATACAGATTTTCCAAAAACACTACCGAGAGGAGTGACAAGTGTTTGCAGTTCTTTGGTAAACACCAGTGACAGTTGCAAGTGGCTCAGCACATGTTAAGTGTAGAGCGTGGTGCCTCAGATTCACAGAGAAGCAGATGTTTTTGCAATATGCCTGACAGCTTTCGCTGGGTTGGGGAAGAAATCTGTAGCCCATCTTTTCTTCCATCTGTTCTGAATTGAAACTAGTAGGAAGCAGCATGGGCCCACTGGCTAGAACATAAAGAAGAGAGCAGCTACCACTGCAGCATGACAGTGAGCAAGCAGCCATCATGGGGCAGAATACAGTCCACCCAGCACAGTTGGATGAAGCAGACAGGAGCAGATGCCTGGGAAAAATTTAAAGAGGATAAGCACATACAAAAACAGCCTTCAACCACCTGCATTTCAGGGACTTCTCAAGCCAGAATTGGTTCCTGTGCGTTTGGAAAGCTTGATAAATTCTGTTCTGAGCTTATGCCCAACTCTACATGCCTAGAATCCTGTGGCAAGAAGTTTCACAGCATACAGCGCAGCCTGTCTGCTCTCTCACTAAACAGACAGGAAGAATGTAAAGGTCAAAATGCAACAACAGGAGCAATCAAAGACACAAAAGAATTCATTTACTGTTGTATGTCTAAGTGCCTGCAACTGGAAAAGACAGAAGCAATACAAATAAGACTGAGGTATTTGACAGGTGCTCAAGAGACCTGTGTTGAACTTAGACTTGTCTAAGTTGCCAATGCCTTTCTCAGCTTTGTTTACCCAGCCTAGGTAGCTGCTTCCTCTCCTATCACCACCTGTATCCATCACATCAGAAAAAGGATGAATGCTGAAAACAGCAGATCAACACACACTCCTCCTCTTATACAGTGCCCCAGTAAGGAGGATCTCAAAGGAGCTGCATATGATAACAAGGCTCTATCCTAGAAAGCAAAGAAATTATGCTAACAAGTATACGAAAGCACTAAGCCATATATTTGTACAGTACTTGCATTCCCGTAACATTTAATAGATGCCAATCAAGACAGAAAAGAAAAACAGCTTTTACCTATATATGTTGCTTATATCCTTCACCATCAATCTCCACAAGTACTTGTAGAGATAGGAAAGAGAGGTAAAAGCCCATTCCAGCAGCTCTGTGTCCTGTGTATCCAGCAACTTGGTGATGGCCACGAAGAAGTCATGGAAGTGAGGATAGAAATCAGCCTGGAGATCTCGAGCCAGCTGCACCACTAGACTGATTCAGACAATTTATCAGTGTTAGTATGTTTTTTGTTGTTGTTGTTGTTGTTTTTTAAATCAATAAAAAGCTAGCCAAGCACTGCTTGCAGTTGAGCACAATATTTTTTGAAAGATGGACAGCATTACTCCTGTTTCTTACCTTTATTAAACATCACCTGTAAGCAGCTATGGATGGCAACAATTTTAAAGCAATTCAAGCAGACAACATTAAACAAGAAGAAAAATGGATCAACCAAACATAGATGATCAACATCAACCAAAGCACATTAATTTTCTATCAGACACTCAGTAACATGTTATTTTTTTTTTTATAAGGCTGAGGATTATAAAGCACTACCAGGGAAATATGACTACTTCGGGTATCTCATTGCTATACTTCTTTCCTCCTGTACAAAAAATATAAAGAACACTTAGAACAAGACTTGGGATTATTTGTAATATCATCAGGCTTCAGCTGGTGACCAGTCACTAGTAGCATTCCCCAGGGGTCAGTATTGTAGCCCGTCCTGTTTACTATTTTTACTGACCATCTGGACAAGGGGGATTGAGCGCACCCTCACTAAGTTTGCAGATGACACCAAGTTGGAAGAAAGGAGGGTAGGAAAGTCCTGCAGAGGAATCTGGTAAGGCTGGATCAATGGGCTAAGTCCAATTGTATGAGGTTAAACAAGACCAAGTGCTAGGTCTTGCACTTCAGTCACACCTCAGTCAGTACTACAGGCTTGGGGGAGAGGTTTGGGAAAAGCTGCTTGGCAGAAAAGGGTCTGGGGGCGTAGGCTGACAGCTGACCAAACATGAGCCAATGGCATCATGGCTTGTATCAGAAATACTGCAGCCAGAAGAAGCAGGGAGGTTATCATGTCTGTGTATATGGCACTAGTGAGACCACATCTCAACTGCTTTGTTCAGTTTCGGTCCCCTCACTACAAGAAAGACACAGGGGCCCTGGAGCATGTCCAAGGAAGGGCAATGGAGCTGTGAGGAGGCTGGAGCACAAGTCTGATGGGGAGCAGCTGAGGAAATTGAGATTGCTTAAAGTGGAAGAGGCTCAGAGGAGACCATATCGCCCTCTTCAGTGATAGGACAAGATAGTGGCCTTAATCTGTATCAGGGGAGGTTCACGAGGGATATTAAGGAAAATTTATTCTCCAAAAGAGCATTCAAGTACTCAGAAAGGCTGTCCAGGGAGGTGGTGGAGTCACTGTCCCTGGAGGTGTTCAAGAAACACGTGAATGTGGAATTGAGGTACATGCTTAGTGGGCACAGTGGTGATGGCTTGATGGTTGGACTCGATGATCTTAGAGGTCATTCTCAACTTGACTAATTCTACAATTGATCACCATATACTTACTCTAATAACGGTTGATAAGCAAGACTGGTTTTGACTTGCAAATGTATCTTCAAGCTCTGCACAATGGCACCCTGGTAATAGACCAGCTGGTTGAAGGACTGGCATTTGTTGGCCACTTCTTTGTAGAACTGCACTGTTTAAAGCATGAAAGAGAAATCATGATAACTATAGTTCAGTGAACATGCAGGATGTTAAAATTAATGGCTCTCCAAAGCCGAGTTCAAAACCCAATCTACAGAAACCTTCTCAGTCTGCTCTAGATGCAGAAGAAATGTATTTTAACAGTCTAGAACAGGCAGAAAATATCAACAAATAAAAAATAAGGTACCAAAATGCTGAGTGAGGTTCAATTCCCTCCATTTCTGCAGTCCTTCATAAAAGTAAGTTTCAACCTCCTGTCAAAATAAAGACAAAATAACAGGTCACCAATTCTTATGGATGTAGCCAGTAAAGATGACAGGTTCCAGTGAAAAGAACTACCAAGTGCTTCAAACGTGTTTTGAATATTTTAAGAAATCTTGATGAGTTCCTTCCAAAGGGTGCTACAGGATTTGTCTGAAAATAAGACCTTCATTTCCACATTCAGAAAACCATTTAACATATATTCTGGTGACAAGACTTGCTTACATAATTGCTTTTTAGACTTCTGTTGACTGGACTCGATAATCTAAGATGCTGAACCACAACCACCCAGTAGGAGAAAAATGCTCTGGGGTTTTATTTTGGCATCCTCACAGCTATTCAGTGGGAAGCTTAGAAAAACAACCCAGCAGGCCAGGAGGCAGTAAGCTGCAAAGCATTCTATTAACAGTGACGATCTGCAAGACACAGAGATGATCTCTCTTTTTTTTTTTAATGATCTATGAAGAGCTGGAAAGTACCTTCAAAGGTGCTAATCCAACTTCCCTGTGAGTACTGCACCTACTCAGCACCCTTAAGCCTTTGCAGGACAGGACCCAGGGCTGTTGATGGTCACCACAGGCCCACTCACTATGTGGAAGCGATCAGGGTGACACTGCCAATATGAGAAGCATTTCCAAAAGAAGAAGGGAACAAAACAGTGAATGAAACTTTAGAAAGAAGCTCATGGAGGAGTCATGTTTTCTAACCCTTCCCCAAAGAAAAACGTAAGCATATCTTTCAGGGCACGTGTCTATTTGTGGAGTGACCTGCAGTCCTCTAGCATAAAATGACTGCTGTTGCTTTTCTCACCTCAGCGCTGCTTCCAGTTCTGTCAATCCGATGAATAATATCGATGTTAACATTACTTAAGCGCTCCGAGAAGGTAAGAAACTGTAAAACAAAAGGACACACGTGTTCGTGCTGTTAGCCTGGTGAGGCCAGCAGCCGCACCTCCCCTGCAGTACAGAGAGCCTTCTTGGAGCCCTCCGTCCCTCCACAGCTGCACCACAGCTCAATGAAGACTAAGGACGAAAACCCAGCGACCCACCCCGGCTGCCACCCGGCCCGGCGAGGCGGGCGCTCACCCGGTGCGTGTTCCCCGACTTGTGGGCCGAGGATTTGCCCTTCATGGTGGCGGCTTTAAGCCCGCAGCGCGGATCACACGTGCGAAGCTAAGCGCTGGGCGCCGCCATGCCGGCCGGGGCTGCCGGGAGGAGGAGGCGGGGCTGCCGGCGGAAGGGGCGGGTGCCGGGCGGCGGGGCTGGGCGGGCGGTGAGGGTTAATGAGTCTGCTGGCCTGATGAGGGCTATGTTGCTGTCTTCCCTTGAGCAGACGTACCGAAGAATCATAGAATCGTTTGAGTTGGACGGGACCTTTAAAGGCCATCTGGTGCAACTCCCCTGCAGTGAGCAGGGGCACCTACAGCTGATCAGGGTGCTCGGAGCCCATCCAGCCTGACCTTGAATGTCTCCAGGGATAAGGCATCCACCACCTCTCTGGGCAGCCGGTGCCAGTGCCTCACTGCCCACTGAGTAAAAGATTTTCTACTAACAGCTAATCTAATCTCCTTTCTTATAGTTTTAAATCATCCCCCCTCATCTCTATCTGCCCACGTAAAAAAGCACTCTCCCTTTATGTTTGTAGTCTTCCATGAAGGTCTCACAGAGCTTTCAAGCAAAACAAGCCCAGCTTCCTTTGCCTTTCATCATAGGAAAGGTGCTCCAGCCCTCTGGTAATCTTTGTGGCCCTCCTTTGGACCCACTCCAACAGCTCTGCATCCTTCCTGTACTGGAGGCTCTGGACCTGGATGCAGTATTCCGGATGGGGCCTGACAAGGGCAGAGCAGAGGGGGACGACGGTCTCCTCTCTGTCCTTGTGGCGACTGCTCTTTTGGTCTTCCAGACTGCAAGAGCATGCTGCTTGCTTGCTTTTCATCTGCATCTTGCCCAACCCAGGCTGTGGGCCTTCTCTGAATATTTACTTAATTTAGAACAACCCTGAGAAAAGAAAAAGCAACAAATGCCTACCACAGGCACAGCTCTGTGGTAGTACAAAGTACTTCAGTGGTGCTGTTGACACAGTGGAAGGAAGGGATGCCATTCAGAGGGACCTCAACAGATTTGAAAGGTGGCCCCAGGAGAATCTAATGAGATTGAACACAGCAAAGTGCAAGGTTTTGCACTTGGGCCAGAGGAATCCTAGGCATCTATACAGACTGGAAGGAGCGGTCCTTGAGAGTAGCCCTGCAGAGAAGGACCTGGGGATCCTGGTGGATGAAGAGCTTAACGTGAGCCAGCAGTGTGCTCTTGCAGCTCAGAAAACAAATAGTACCCTGGGCTCTAGGGACAGGGAGGTGGACAGGGAGGTGATTGTCCCCATCTACTCTGCCCTCGTGAGGCCCCATCTGGAGTACTGCATCCAGGTCTGAGGCTCCCAATACAAAAAATACAGGGAGCTGTTGGAGAGGGTCCAGAGGAGGGCCACAAAGATGATTAGAGGGCTGGACCACCTCCCCTATGAAGACAGGCTGAAGGAGCTGGGCTTGTTCAGCCTGGAGAAAAGAAGGCTGTGGGGTGACCTCACTGCAGCCTTCCAGTACCTGAAGGGAACCTGCAAACTGCAGGGGAGTCAACTCTTTGAAAGGGTTGATAACTGCAGGATGAGGGGAAATGGTTTCAAGTTGAGGAGGGAAGATTTAGGTTGGATGTCAGGTGGAAGTTCTTTACAGAGAGAGTGGTGAGGTGCTGGAACAGGCTGCCCAGAGAGGATGTGAATGCCCCGTCCCTGGAGGTGTTCAAGGCCAGATTGGATGGGGCCATGGGCAGCCTGGTCTAGTATTAAATGGGGAGGTAGGTGACCCTCCCTGTGGTGCAGGGCTTGGAGCTTGATGATCCTTGAAGTCCTGTCCAACCCATGCCATACTATGATTCTGTGATTCACACACAAAGTGTTAGGAGCCCCTATATTTTGTACCTGTAATTCTTCAGACCAAAATTAGCCATGGGTTTGGACAGTGCATTAAAGTTACCTAAAATATCTGGCACCTTCTTAATGGTGCGCAAGAGCAAATAACTACAGACTGACTGTTACTTCTGTGATCACAGGAATGCCAGAGCCTGTGGAAGCTTCTGTCTGTGACTTCAGTTACAGAAGTAGAAAGAGTGGAAGCTGGAAGAAGCTTTGGTTTGGGAGATGCAGTAGAAGCAGGTCAGAACCATACAGCCCAGAACCATGTGCCCATTCTGGGAGGCTGTTGATAGGGCCCCAGGGTTTGCCTTTCCCCATTCTGTCTGTCCTTCCAGACCAAGGCCTCTCTCACAAATCTGACATAGGTGTTACTCAGCAAACCATCAGGCTGGTTGTGAGCATGGATGAAGTGCACTCCTAGGAGTACTGCTTTGAATAGACCTGACAGGTTACGTGCTGCCAGGTGTAACCAGCAAAGCTCCCACGGGCAGGCAATAAGCCATTAGCATGATAGTAATCTGGATGGGCAGGGAATGTGCTCACTCCAGCACCTGCAGCTACAGACTTTGGAGCTTGTTCTTCTTCAGGTATTAAAAAGAACTTCTGGTATTTACATCAAGTGGGAAGAAAGCGTCTAAGTTAGGCAATAGAGTTTGAGAAGTTTGGCTTTAATGCTTTCAAGCCCAAATACATCCACAGTAATGTGCAACTATGAGCATGCAGGCTGGTTCAGATCCACAGAAGAGCTTAGGCATCAGTATGAGCCTATTGAAGTTCACAAATACCTCTTCAGCTGTGGTTACTAAATTCCCCTAATGTGTCTCCTGCATACTGCAAACTTGTGAAAAACAGTCTACAACATCTTTCTTCTGTTATGAATAGTGTCCGGGGAGGTGGTAGACTAACTGTCCCTGGAGGTATTCAAGAACTCTGTAGATGTGGCACTGAGAACACAGTTAGTGGGCATGGTGGGGATGGGCTGATGTTTGGACTACTGTGATCTTCTTAGTGATCTTTTCCAGCTTAAACAATTCTATGATTCTATGATCTTGTAGAGTTGTGGAAATTCCTTGAATGCACGTGTTCCAAAATAATACAAGGGAAAGAACCAGCTCAAACATCTGTGGAAAGCAGCAAGGTGAAGAGCTCATGTGTGTTCTGCCTGTTGCAGAAAAGGTGTCATCAGCAATAACAGAAGGTGTTAGGGGAAGTTTTTCACTTAATGTTTGCAATGTGGCAGCTTTTGAGAAGAGTGAGACTGGTGAGCCCTGCAACTGCTGATGCACACTAGAGCTTCTGCTTGCAAAAACACTGACAGGCTGCACTTTAGCCAGTGCTGTGAACTTAGTGCTTGAGGATACATCTGCGTGAGCTGCAGGAAAGTAACAGGTACTGAAATAAGTGTAGCCATAGCAGTAGGTCTTACACTTCAGCTGGAAGGGTCCAGTGATGCAGAAGGTCCCTTGTCTACTTCTGCATGAATAACATCTGAATTAGCAATGTCCTCACTACACTACACTCCAATCGCAATGCCTCAAGCCTTATTCCTTTGCCTTTTCAGGAAGAGATGTGGCTCTCCCACCTGTGGACAGGCCCCAGCTCCACCACCCTGTGATTATCTGGCAGACTCAGCTGTCAACAATTCTTCAGAAATCCACGCTAATGGCAAGCAGATGGCCTTCTGAAGTGTGATGGTTTATTGGCAGTAATGCTTGTGGAGGCACGTAGAGAAAACTCCTAAAACAGCACGTGTGTGTCACTTCTGCAGATCTGACTTCTTCAAACACTTGCTGTGGGCTACAACCATCAGTCCCTGACAGTAATATATCAGCGCTCCTGGAGCCTTGCTTGTGATACCCAAAGTCCTTCTCTTTGTTACAGCTCATCCCACGGAACAACTCAGGTGGACAGTCTGGGTATGCACAGCTGGAAGCCCTCTGCCTCACAAAAGCTCTCCAAAATCACAGAATCACAGAATCAGAATCACAAAATGGCCCGGCTTGGAAGGGACCTCAAGGATCATGAATCTCCAACCCCCCTGCCACAGGCAGGGCCACCAACCTCCCCATTTAATACTAGACCAGTTTGCCCAGGGCCCCATCCAGTCTGGTCTTGAACACCTCCAGGGATGTGTAAATTCTTAGAGAGAAGGCTGGCATGGGTCTGAGTTAGGTTATATAGTTGCATGGTGTCTTCGGAGTACTCTTTTAACTGTTTTTCTTTAATTTGTCTAGAAAGCATGAAGAGCCCTTTGAAACGCAAGGACGTGTTTTCTTTGCCAGCTTCCTCCTCAAGTTCTAGCTGGCATTTTGCCTTGTCCTGCAGGAGGACATCCCACAAGATTATGTAGGTTATGGTTGAGAACACTTGCATTTTCAAAAACAAAGCAGACAAGATACTGGAATCCTGTTCTGCAAACTGGTAGAACTGTTCAGCCGCATTTTTTCTAATCTGCCTGAAGCATAGAGATTCTGTAAATAATGTGACGCCAGGTCAGTGCTGGCTGAGTCCTGGAGAGAATTTCACCTGTGTTTGCACATCAGAAGGAGTTTTGGACTAGGAGCTGGAAGGAAGACCCCACATTTCTACAGCTGTATCTCTGAAATATCGTGAAGTTAGAGCCTTCCTTCATGGAATGATAACAACAATCACTAACAATATCATTCGGCTCAAGACACCTAGGCCAGTGGTTCCTGTATTGCAAGACAGGGTGCTGCTGCAGAGCTGGAGCAGGCGGGCTACCCTCGCTCCATCTCTAGAGGTAAACTGAATAGTGCCAAAGCACAGGGACCATCTAGGCTGATTAATCATTAACACACAATCCCTGGCACAATTTTGTTTCATGCCAAATATGATTGCCCCAATGTTTCTGCCCAGCGGGAAGCCACACTTTTATTTTATTTTATTTTTATTCTTATGTTTTGTGGGGAAGAATGTTGAGAGTGTAGTTTCTGTTAAAAAAAGAAAAAGAGAGAGAAAAAAGAAAAAAAAGGTCTGAAGATCTGATTTCTGCATGGATAGCATTATGCAGATGACTCCATGACAGGAAGGGATTTCAGTTGTGACCACTGCTACTATTCTTCATCCCAAGGCTCAGCCACAATGGCAGCAGCAGGACTGGCATCAGCCTTGTTGAAAGCAAGAGCAAGAGTGACAATAGGAGCAAGATCTACAGAGGAAGCAGGGGACATGGAAAGGAAAATGAATAGGCAGGAGTAAGTCTTTTCCTGAAAAGGATGTGAATTCTCTC